GAAAAGGATGAATTAGAACATAGAGCAAATCACTTGCATTTGAAAAGTTCCTTCAAACTTTTTCTTGCTTTACACTAACAGGTCATAGATAACCAAAGCGACAGAGGCCTCAAATGCCTTCTCAGTTCCTCACAACCTTTCGCAGCATGGTGTGCGTAGAACTGGTAATACTCTGATACATGTGGTAAACTGATAAGGCTGCTCCTGGCCAGAGGTCCCTCGCACTCTGGAAGCACCTCATCCGTACCCCAGTCTGGCCGACATCTTTGCTCTAACACTTACCACACTGCACTGGGATGTTGCCTGTCTTCTCTGTTGTCCGTGCATAAACTGCACTTGACTAAGTTAAAATGGCTGTGCCCCATTCTTGCCAAATGTATGCAACATAACAAAGGAGCACACATGGTACAGGGGCTAAGAAAAGCTGAAGGTGGGAGTCTGCCGAACTGTGGGCTCTGCTCTGCCTACAGGAGGTGGTCCTGAGAGCATTCTATGCCTCTGCCTTTCTCCACCAAGGTCAGAACAGGGAAGGGGCAGAGACTTTTCAAACACTGCTCTTCTGATTCTGGCAGATAAACTCCTCTCCCTCCTCCTTCCATGCTGCTCACTCCCCAAAGGTATTGTTTAGAGAGACTTCTAGATGCCGTGCTGATGATGCTACGGATTTCTGTGGCTCCAAGGGAATGCTGAATTCAAGACAAGCATCTGGAGTGGAAAGACCCATAGTGGTTCTGCCTCAGCTGTAGGAGGGGAAGTCATTCTGTAAAGTCAGATTCCAGCTTGAAGATGAAAACAGATTTTTTCCCCCATTATGTTTGAATCACTAAAATGAAAGTCCTGGAAATAATTTTAAAACAAACAAACATACAAAAGCCCGGACCTACTGGATTCTGCAGTCTGACCTTGACCTGCCCCCCCATGTGCTCATCACAGGTGGGCTTCACTGCACCCAACTGTGCTCCGGCCACACTGACTTCCAGCTCCTGGGGGGCCCATTGCCTCTTCCTACCACAAGGTCTCTTAACCACGGACTTTCTCCTACAGAACCTTCTTCTCTTTCCTCAACCACCACCCTCTTCCCTTTGCCTGGTGATCTTCTCTAAGTCCTTCACATTCCAGTTTTGTTTTCTTTATTTTCTCCAGTCTCTTCCGATCTTTTCAACCAACCCCCTGTTGGAGACACACTCCCTCCGAGCACTCCCAGTTACCGCTTTGCATTTCGTCATGTGGTTTTCTTGATCAACATCTACCTGCCCAGCAAACTACATGCTATGTGATGGCAGAGACTTGTTCTCTTTAACTCTCCTATTCTCCCAGCACCACTTAAGAGTGCCTATCACTCAGCAAGTGCTTAATAAATACTTCCTGGTTTAATAAGTGAATGAATGAACCTATTGATTTCATTCCCTCAACCTCCCTTGGATTTGTCTTTCTCAAAACAGATGGCAGTAGTTTGGGAAAGTCTTCTGATAAAGAGCATCAATCTGTAGTTGTGACTCAGTGGTAGGCAGGGATCAAAAATGACAAGATGAAAGTACAACTAATAGCCAAAACCATCTATTTTTCTCCTAGGGCTTTAGGAAAAGAGGGGAAATCTAGCACCAATGTTCCCTATCAGTGTGTCATAGATCATACCTGATACTTTTTTATTTTAGAAGCATTTCCAGACTAGTTACAGTGATTTCATGTGATAAAATGGAATTCATCCCGATCTCCAGCTGGACCCTCAACCTCTAGATGTTTTCATGGTACCATGATCTTGTAAAAAAATCAGCACTCTGAGATCTAAGGGGCATGTTTGGTGAAGAAATATCATAACTTAGGTTGGAATTTTTCATATAATTTTTATATTTAGTTTGAAATTGCTTTTCAAAAGGAGAAGTCTGATGTCTTGGCTATTTCTGTACCGTTTTCTAAAGTTATACTGATTTGGAGATTGGAATCTCCAAATATGAGGGTCCTAGGAGCTCTGTGTCATATAGGTTTAATGAACAATAAGGTAATTTTAGGAAATGACAGAACACTTGGGCCTACTTAGAAGACAACCAGGAATATTTCAGAATAAATGATTCTAAATTATTTTAAATAATTTTTTAAAACTGCGTCACACCTTAGAATGATCTCCCCCTTTTGTTTGTTTTGGCGATGAGGTGAGAAGAGATATGAAGGACAGCCGAAAGTGCTTATAGCATTGAAAGATGGTCTAGTTGATGTCTTTTGTTGTGCTAAATTGGGAGTTGACAACTATTTTTCATTCCAAGAAAATCACAGATCTGTAGTCACCTGCAGGGACATTGATACCTGGAAGACCTGTGGTGCGGGCATGCTGGAGCCTGAAATTTGTTCTGGAAAAGCTTTTGGCTCTTGGAAAGCACTCACATCAATTACGAGAGTGTGTTTTGCTGAAGTCATGGTCATATTTACTAGTAACTGAAAATATTGAAAGTTCACTCTGAATGGAATTGAATTCTGTCTAGGTATTTAGAGTTTGTTTCACCCAAATTTTATATTATGACTAGTAAACAGTATTAATTCTTTTTTTTAATTAAGGTGTCATTGATATACTATCTTATGAAGGCTTCACACGAGCAACATTGTGGTTTCAACATTCACCCATATTATCAAGTCACCCCACCCCAACCCCATTGCAGTCACTGTCCATCAGCATAGTAAGATTCTATAGAGTCACTACTTGTCTTCTCCATGCTAATAGTATTAATTCTTTTAAAGAGAACTTTAATGGAGGGCAAAATCATTCTATATTCCTTTGTCTCAGCCTCACTGTGGAAAGGTTAGCTTTTCACTCCACAAGTTCACTAGCATTGCAGCATGATGCCTTCCAAGGAAATACACTGCCTCTGTGGAGGGGTATTGCGCCCAGTGCACTGAAGGGAGATGAGATGTTACCATGGTTGGTAAGAGACCTAGATGCCCTATACAGGGGATGCAAAAAGAGTTTTGTTCATATGGGGCCCTTGGCCTAGAAGCTATGAAGAATGGCCAGAGGAAGCATCTGACCTTTCAACAGCATGCTGATCTCTGAATAGCACACTGCGGTGAGAGGACTGATTTCACTACAGCCAACAGGCTAGATGCCCACAGGGCAGCGCAGGCAGTAGGGGCCCTGGCAGGAGGAATGGGAACACAGCAGGTTCTGTAGGCAGAGTGCTTGGCCTCTCTTGCTTGAACGATCAGCAGTGATCCTGTCACCAGGATCATAGCCAGTTAAAACTCCAAGCAAACTTGGAAATTAGTTTGTCCAATTCATTTAGAATTTAGAGGTGAAAACTAAGACCCAGAACATGAAAAGACTCTCCCTACCATGTTCCTGTCTTTGTGATTAAGTGTCAGTGTGGGTTGGTAGCACCTTACGGATGTTAAGACCGAGTGGGAAGGGCTCATGGTCCTAACTGTGCATGCATCCAGCTCTCAGAGGAAGCAGGTGGGAGCAGCCCTCCTGGAAACAGCCGCCTCACCTGGGGTAGCTTCGCATTGTAATGAGCAAAGCGTTTGCAAGTGGAGTTCCATGTTGGGGTGAGCCATCTGGGGGTGCAGATTACCCTGGGACATAAAAGCAACCCTGAGAGTGAATGGTCAGCATCGAGCATGCATTTTTATTAATTATGTCAATTAAATCATTAAAGGAGAAATTTCAAGGAATAATTCACCTATAGATGAGAAAAATTTCTTGGTCCCAGATACCACTGCTTAAAGGGTGCATCTTGCTGAATTGGGGCTAAGAGGGCTATAATATACACTCTCATTTCACTGTACAGGCTCCTCGTCTCCTGTCTTTTATGTAACACAGTTTCTAAGGGGAGAGACTATTCTGATTGGAAAAGAATGGAGAGAGGGGATAGTACAGGGAGATGTCAGTGGAAAATCCACTGTGTGCCATCCTGTAAATTAAATTCAGAGTCCCATGGGGACAGCATCCTTCCAGCACTCACTGACAAACCACCCTGGATGTGACCTTTCCAGCCTGCACAGACAGGGGCCCCATTCACCTGGTCTTCTGTCCCTAGCATTGCCAGCCCTCAGCCGCTACCGGTCGGCTCCTCCTCCAAGGACCCCCCTGACACCTGCAGCACTTCTGTTGAAAACAGAGGCTGCTCTGGGCTCTAGGCCTGAGCCCAACTTCAGCATGGAGGCTCTCACTTCCCCCCGTCTGCCTTCCTTAGCTGGGCAAACTCTACCTCCCATCCTCAAGGCAAACAGCTGGACTCAGTAACTGCATTTTCACAGCTCTAAGGTAATGAGCACATGAAAGGCCTCATTCTTCTATACTACTGGGCAGCTTCTTGGCTGAGGAGACCTTCTGTGTTCACAGTGGTGGGCAAGGCTATTAAGAGCGGCCCTATTGTACCCAGAGAAGTTGCCCTTTCTCAGTTCATAGTCCCAGCTGACCAGGACAGCTGCTCGCCAGGGCCCTACAAGGAGTTCTTAGTCCTTGGACAAACTTGAGGTGCCAGACCCCCTCCCAGCTCCTGTTCCAAGCTCCCAGCACTAGAGACTTCCCAGTCTTTCCACTGGCTGCCCTGGTCACGCCCTGCACACTCACCTGGATGCCCTGTGCTTGCTTTCAGCTCATCTAGAGCTCAGGGTAGCATAACTGTGCCTTTTTTCCCTTACTATACTAAATTGTCATTTCTTTCTTTTCTATGTACAAAGCTCCCTTTGAAGTAAGGGACCTTTTGTAACAGAGATAGAGCTCAATCTGACTTGAGCGGTATCAGGATGCTCCAAGACAGAATATTAAAGTTATATTAGCTTTAGTTTTATGCACCCCAAACACAGAAACTACAATCTCTCCCACTAAAAGATAGAAGAACTTTTAGCCTCATGCTTTGCTTTGGGGAAAGAAGATTGGTTATAAAACTGTCCTGAAGTTTCTGTTGATAAATTCCTTCCTTCCTCATTGCTTGTAATTAAAATGTTGAATTTAAACATAAATGTTGAATGTAAACAGCAGCTTAACACAATTTCCACTTTTTCTGCAGCACCTGAAATTCTTAGAGGCTGTGCCTATGGACCCGAGGTGGACATGTGGTCTGTAGGAATAATCACCTACATCTTGTAAGTGAAGGAAAGCAATCTTTATGCCTGCTTTTTGCCTTCCTGTGCTATTGTCCGGGTACTCATTGTCCTCATAAAAAGCAAGATTACTTTTTTGATGCTTTGTGATGTTCTATGATATACTAAATGTAATTAGTGATAGAATTTTCTGAAAATGAGCATTACTTTTTATTTTGTAATTCTCTTGGGTCCAGACTTTCTGCCCGGTGCTTGTCTGAGTTTTATTCTGCTATACAGTGTGTAACAGACTTGGGGAACAATTCATAATTTGACAATAGTAATTCATGTGAAACTAAGCCCAGCTATTAAACTTGCTGTCATTTTACTTATCTGTCTCTCATCAAAATGGAGCATTAGTCCCTTTTAAAGTGCAAATGGCCCTTTAATCTCTTAAGCAATCCTAAACTGGTACATTTCTTATCAGGAATGTTTTAAATGCATTTTGGCTATCAGTTTAGTTTCCTATCTCTGTAAGGTTCTCAAAGAACTTGAATTCAATACTCTAAACTCAGAGAAACCTTTTCTCTGGTAGAAAAAAAAAAGGGCTAATTCACTCTTATGGTACCTTCAACTCCATTCCTGAGTTCCTGCCTCCTAATAAATAAGAGGTCTCAGGAAGTTTTCCAAAGAGATTATGGAATTGCAGACTAATTCAAGGGAAGTAAGCAAGAATGGTGGAACTGTGTCTGGGGAGGAAGGTTGCTGTGGAACAGCTACAAAGGCAAGGTATCAATGAGTTCCAGAGTTTAATTCAGAACAAGAAGATTTTTTTGCCATTTAGAGGTTACTGCGGGAGTTCATTGTTGGAACCTGTAACATTCAAATCTGTAAAGAAATTTTGGGTGTGAAAGAAAGTGTATTAGTTGGCTCAGGCTGCCATAACATAACCACAGACAAAAGAAATTTATTTCTTATGGTTCTGAAGTCTGGAAGTCCCACATGAGGGTGAGAGTAAGTGGGTTTCTGGTGAGAGTTCCCTTCCTAGGGTGCAGACGGTCTCTGTGTGGGAGCACACAGAGAGGAAGCAGGTGCTGGTGGTTCTTCTCATAAGGGCACTGATCCCATGAGGAGGTCTCACCCTCATGACCTCATCTAACCCTAATTACCTCCCCAAATGCCTTCTCCAAACACCATCCTATTGGGGGTTAGGGCTTCAACATATGAATTTGGGGGGACACAATTCAGTTCATAGCAGAAAGAGGTTTTGTTTTTTGTTTTTTTGCTTTTAATTTCATAGTGATCTTAGGAAGTATGGTGTCTAAGTACTGTGGGCTAGGAAGGGGGTTACTGGGGTAGGAACCCAAGAAAATTAGTCAATTCTAAGTTCACCTGGGTATATTCATTGGTCAGTAGCCAAGACAAAAAGGTTTAACAGGCAGCCCATAACATAGCCATTTGCTATCACGTAGTGTCAAAAGATATTTCCAGTATTCAATTCCCTGTGTATCTAGATTGTATCAAAGCTTGAGAAGAATTTGGAGAGGGAGAGAACCATGTTTTTTCTTATGAAAGTGCAAACTGTTGGTAATTTCTATGTGCCGCACTAAGTGCTTAATTTAATAAAACAAATCCCTAAGGTCAGATCACAGATTTCCTTCATCTTATATTTGAGATCACTTTTATACCAGAGAAGGAATGTTGTCTCCTGAATTGTGTAGGTGACATATCATACTTAGTGACATTAAGTGAGAAACTGATCCACACAAATAACAATTAGGATTTGCCCCAAAAATGTAAGCATGCCTGTTCAATTATAATTTCTTGTTGAAATGTGATGGGAGGAGTTGAAGCATTGAGGGTGTGGAAGAACTCGGAAGAGATGGAGGTAGGAAATTAAGTTATAGCCCTCCTGAAAAAATTGAAATATGGATTGAGTAAGACCCATGATATTGTCACTGACATGAGAAAATGAAGAGAAAGAAATGTGACTGAGAAACATCTTAGTATAGTCCTTAAAATGATTTTAACTCTGTCAAGGGCCTCTCCCTTGGTCACTTAGGGCCCTCAGTTAATAGCTTGGTTGGAAATAAGCAGTCATCCCCAAATGACATGACATGCTGCTTACAACCAATATCCTTTAGTTTTGGCCTAACTCTGTCAGCCTTGAGCCTGGGGACTTTTGGTTTTACCTGTGGTTCATTAGTAATGGACCAAGTCCACCAGGCAAGGGTCACTGAAACATTCTCTCCAGCTGATGGTGCCACTGGACTTAATATCTCCTTTGTTATTATTAAAAGTTCCACCAGGTTGTTTTGTGCTATGACCTCACTATTTTTAAGGTGACAGTAGACTGGAAAGGAAGAAATTCTGGTCCCCCTACCTTTTACACCTAAGCCCTTTGTCCCCACAGACAAAAGCCACAACTGCACAGCTCAGGTCAGAATTAGAATGAGAAACCTCCGAGACTCAAACTCTCTCCTTCACTTGGAACACTGTGTTTCCACCCAGTGGTTTGGAGCTGCTCTGTATTAATTATACACTCAGACTTCAGGTCTGTGTAATCCTAATATCCTCCTAAACTGTCATGGTGAGCACTCAAATATTTCCATTTCTGAAGGGTTTCTGCACTGTGTGTGTGTGTGTGTGTGTGTGTGTGTGTGTGTTGCATTATGTCACATTTCTTCCATTTTTGGCATTTCAGGCTGACATGACATTTTTTACCTCTGTTACCAGTGCACACATTTGCTGACATGATTGAGATGAAAGAAACCCGTTTGAGTGCTACACCTTCCAAACTGTCATTCTCTCTAGACTTCCAAAGGGAAAACATGAGTTCCTCAAACTAGGCCTGGAAAATTGGCTACTCTCTCCAACAACAGGCTCTAATTTCTAGTGTTGTGGACAGCACAGGGGGGCCAGGGAGGGCTGAGCTGCCTCCCCACCCAGGTGTGGCCGTGCGCCCCTTCTCTCCTTAGGCTGGAGCAGGACGGTCTGTGGCACCCCTGCAGTGTGGGGTGAGGATGCGAGCCGTACCTCAGCGCTCCTGAGCCTGGCCTTCTCCTGGCTGGCTCCGGAGTACTTGAAAGAGACAATACTCTCCTGACACGACATTCCCTGAGCAAAAGGATGTGAGAAATCGCTTCTTCTAGAAACCCACTGTGTCAGGGTGCACCTGAGTGTTCATGCTCTGCACCATCCTGGCTAGTTAGAAGGAAGACTTGAGAAACTGTTTTTTGACCTAGTAATTCCTTCTCGCCATTCTTTGTCAAATGCAACATAGGCCCTGGCAGAGACTTCCTTTTTAAACTTTTTTTTGGTCCCTAGTGATCTCAGAACCTCTGCACATCCCTAAGCAGTGGAGGCTGCTGACCCCAGACCGGCAGGACACTTTCCTTCTGTCCCTTCGGGATGCCAGAGGTGGTTCTCGGTTTCTTCTCTCCCACTTTTCCTATTCGTTTTTATGCTGACCCCACAGTGGAAAATGAAGGTGGACATAGTGAAGGATGTTTAAGATGTGCAAAAGTGGGGGTTATATTCAAGGGTAGGTGACTGTAGCCTGCTCTTCTCTGCTGGCTGCATCTGTTCACTGTTTTAAGTTTCACAAGGCCAGTCCCTGACGGTAGTTTCAGCTCCTACTTTGTTCGCTCTGAAATCCAAACTGGAACGGGATGGAAATCTAATACTCATTTCCATGGAGGCGTTCAGTGAAAAGGACTGAATAAGAATGACAGAAAGGTTTTTTTTCTTTCCTTCTTTTAGTTTTTTTATTTTCAAAATCCTAATTCTTCCACTTTCTTATAAATTAAAACTCTAATCAATCTCTGTCTTCTCAGTTCCTGGTGAGTGAAAATCGTGGAAAGTTGTTCGCATAGTGACTATCATAGTGTTAGCTATTATTGCCATTGTTTTGTTTCACAATTACTATTATTTAAACTTTTTGTAGAAATCGTAAATTGGTTTTGTATCTGTTTGTACTTTCTGAAGACATGATTGTATGTTTACATAATGAAAAGTGAATTATAACAGGGCAACTACATACTTGTGCTGCATAGACTTGCATTCCTAACAGGAAGCTGTGAAAAAGGACAGTCTTGAACTTCTGCAAAATTTTGATGAAATAGACACACTTTTAAAGACATTTTATTCCTTATCTTTTGTCCCTCTAGACTTTGTGGATTTGAACCATTCTATGATGAAAGAGGCGATCAGTTCATGTTCAGGAGGATTCTGAATTGTGAATATTACTTTATCTCCCCCTGGTGGGATGAAGTATCTCTAAATGCCAAGGACTTGGTAAGTGTGACCAAAACAAAATGAAACAAAATCCCTCACATTCATCTTAAACTAATTAATGCACATTATCATTTTTAAAATTTGCTTCTCTGAATATCTTATTTCTTTATAATTATGAAGTATTTTAATAAAACAATGCACACGGATGCATTTTCCTTATAATGAAAAACAGGTGTTTGACACATTACTAGCTGAATTATCACAAATTACGAATTATTGCAGTATTAGTTTTTACTACCTAATCAATGTAGAGCCTTGCTTATGAAGACAGTTGTGCTGGGTGAATCTAGACATGATTTACACAGGAGAATTCTATTTTAAGGAGGCTTTGCTTTTACTTAGATTTAGTTACACTTCCAATAAAACAACATTGCCTCTTGAAATGTTCAGACTTCTCAAACTATTCTGATAGCAGCAAGTCCCATCACCGGCATTATGCTCAAGCACACTGTACTCAGAGTTTTTCTGGTTTTGTCTGGGTTGTTTTGTTTCACTTGGCTTCTCACTTAAGCTAATACTGAAGTTTGTTCGCATTCAGAAGACACACCCTCTGGGGAGCAGGCCGCCTGTCCCACAGTAAAGAGGACGGTAGCGTGGGATTAAAACATTTGCCATCAATCTAGGGGAAAAACCACAGAAATAACTGAAAACTGACTTTTGCATCACAAAGGTTAGCACTCCAAGGGATCCTAGGAGTTATCTGGTCTTGCCGCACTGTAACAATGAGGGTGCTGAAGCCCGGACAAGTGAAATGGGCTGTCCGAGGTCACGCAGCTTACTCCGGAAAGACAGTGTTAGGAACCAGCAGTCCAGATTTCCAGGCTCCTTATCTCGTGCGCTTCTTCCTTCAGACATTTCCTCCTTACTGTCCACGCTCCTTCATGAAACAGGTCCCTGTCGGCCGTGGCTTTGCGGTGAGACCTGGAAGGGGCAGTGTGCATGGCATGTGGGCGCATCCTCCCAGCGCCTTCTCAGGTCAGGTCCTGGGTCTCTCCGCCGCCCCCACGCCCACAGCCCTAGCCGGGTCCCCCTCCCCCACTGCACTGCCACACACTTCCCGCCTGTGTGCCTGCCTCTTTCCACACCCTTCTCAGGTACCCTCGCCACGTGGGATCCAGACCAATGGTCTTATAAGTAAGTCACATCACAGCACTCTTCTGCTCTCAGGCTCCTCGGATAAAATAAAAAATCTGTAACAAGATCCATACAACACTGGCCTGGTCTGGAGCCTGTCACCCTCTCCCACAGCCCTCATTCCATATCACCTTCTTTTGAACTCTCTTCATCACATGCCCCCACTGTATGTACACACACACACACACACACACACACACACACACACACCCTACCTCTTTGCCATGGGTAACTCATCTTTAAGCCTGAGCTGCCATTTGGCACCCTGCAGGAGGGTTGGTCTGCCCCTGCTTTGCCTGTCTCTCCTTCCCACAGCTGGTTGGTTCATTCTGCCACCGTGTTTTTATGCCCTCTGGACTTCCTCTTTCATGATAGTTGTCACTTATATTTACTTGTGCAAAGGTCTTCCTTAATTAGATGTAAGCTCTGGGAGGGACACTCTTAGTACCATATGGGCGTAGAGTACAGACTCAGTAAATGTTTATTGGATGAAAGAGTGAATCAGAAAATAGATCATGGATTTGTAATGTGACACTACTGGACTCAAGTGCCCCTTTCCTTGTAACATAGAGATGACCTAGGGCTTGTTTTCTGACCTCTCTACGTTTTAGCTTTTTTATCTGGGATGATACTGGTAGCTATCTCTAGGCTGTTAAGAGACTTATGGCCTATAAAGCATGTTTAGTAACTACCACCAGCCAAGTAATAGTTCCTTTATTGAGCCCTCCTTTCATTTCTTTTCATCCCTAATACAAATTAAATGGATAAGAAGGTTAGGTGTGATGTACTTTCATTCAGCTAAATTCCATTGATTAATAAATTTCTATAACATATAAACTAAAGGAATCCTTGAGCCCCATAAGTGTGTACATACTAGCAGAACCCTATTTGCTCTGTCGTCACCTAGGCAACAATGCTGGTGAGTGAGGAGTTGAGTGGTAAGGGTGGCCATGACGACAAAGCTTTGGGTTTGAATCCTGACAAGATAACTGAATCTCTCTTGACCTTCAGCATGTTTCTTAACAATTCAGTGCATCATTCATTACCTTCAAATGCAAAGATTGATACTGACATATGTAAATTTTTGGTACATACTGGCTTTCAACAAATTCTTTGTATTTTCATGAGGAAGGTATGATGAGCAAGAAGAAAAGGATGACTGAAAAATGGGAGGGAGATATCTAATTGTCCAGGATATTGTTAAGGATTAGGTATCATTTACATAATCAAATTACTAGTATTTAATTATTAGTACATGTGTTCAACAGATGATAGCTATGACTATCAAAATTTTTCTTTATGCCTGTGCATTTGTTTTGTTAGTCATCTGTACCGCCCTCCACCTCCTGTCAGATTTTAAGCCTAAGCAGCCTCACATCTCTGCCCTCAACAATTCAGTATCTCTACCCCAAACATGGAATTCTTTGCAAAAGAATTAAAAGGAAACCAGATATTTATTCTTCTTCTGACTTGCTGCCTGCTGCCTGCTTTTGTTATCCTGTATCTAATATTAGAATTAAAAAAGAACTTAGGCCTTAAATCCTCAAAGCCCCTCATTTTACATGTGAGCAGACATGTGAGTTTGAATACAGCCTCAGCCGAGTATAAGTTGTTTGACTTTAGACTCACTGTATCTTTCTGACCCTCCTTCCATCCCTCATTATGGAGTTAATAACTCCCAGTTGAGATGGTTATGGAAAGGATTCATAAATTTTTAGAAAGTGTTATATGCATATAAAAGTGTATTTACAAAGGAATGAAGGTGGAAATAAGATCATGTAAAAAAAGGGCCCAGGAGCATGTCCTTGGCACTCAGTCCCTATTCAGGTCTTTGGGGTCATAAAAATAGAGATGTAAGTAGGGCTTGAACATGCCTCTTGACTGCAAATAGTCTCTGCCTCATTCCAGGTCACCCCTTCTGAGTCCAGGGCCAGGGATTATTGTGGTTATTGACCCTCCTGGAGATTTATCGTCTGCTCATCATCACAAGTAGGGGTGAACTTCCCAGAATGGTCTGCCATTGGTTGAATTCGGTCCTTTAAGCAAATCATGCCCCTAAGTCACTGACACCTTTACTTTGATTCTACATAGGCTTTTACTCCAGCATTTGGCTTATTTCTTCAAGTACCATTAAGGGATTAGAGAGAACTATGAGAACTATAAACTTGTGATGACAGAATCATGGGATAATCCTAAAAAGCAACAATACCTTCCTTTTTGTTGTCATTTAATTTAATCCCCCCAGAAAGAATGATGGATACTGGAGTGATTCCATCTCCACTGAGATGGATTTGAAGTTCTGAATTCTAAGTGATGCAAAATGTAGCCTAGAGTTATTCAGATGCTGGTTCTCCTTCAAAGAACTTCCAGGCCACAGGCAAGCCAGGACCTGTTTCTTTGACCTATGTTAGAAAACTGCACCAGCATGGAGTTGAAGCCAGCTTTAGCCCCAGAGACCTCTGAGGGCTTAAAAAATATTTTTAAATATATACTTAGTGGTACTGCTAAGAAAATAGAATAAGACCAAGAAGGTCCCATGCTGAGGGGTAATCCCAGGTCTCCCTAAGAAGTTTATGGCTCATTATCATTTCAGGTCAGAAAATTAATTGTTTTGGATCCTAAGAAACGGCTGACTACCTTCCAAGCTCTCCAGCACCCGTGGGTCACAGGTAAAGCAGCCAATTTTGTACACATGGACACGGCTCAAAAGAAGCTCCAAGAATTCAATGCCCGGCGCAAGCTTAAGGTAAAATGACCCATGCTTTGTTTTGTTTTATTTTTTTTCTAATTCTCTCTTCAGCTATCAAAGACAATTCCACCATCCTTCATCTAATCCTATTATTCAGAGCCTGTGGTACCAGGAAAAATCCTGCTTTGAAATCCCAACAGTGCTGGCATAAAGCCACTACCGTCTTAATGTTTTCCTCTCTTAAGAATTCACTGTTAGTAAAGGGAATTGTGTGCTGTGCTGAGGTTTACTCACCAAGCAAGCACATCACCATTCCTTCTCATTTAATTAAGGCTGAACTGAGTGAACAGCATTGGTGAGGGAACTGATACACAGTCTTTCCTTCTCATTTAATTAAGGCTGAACTGAGTGAACAGCATTGGTGAGGGAACTGATACACAGTCAGAAAGTTGTCTTCTTTCTGCATATGGGAACTTTGGGAAACAATTTTTTAAAACTATATTTTGTAATATAGATAAATAGTTATTACTATACTTGGTCAATACTGAAATAATTTAAATGATAAAGAAAATTATCCACCAAAATATCTCTTTTTATAGAGCATACATAGAGATTAGATGCTTTTCTCTTAATAATGGTGTTTAGGACCAGCTGTATATGCAGGGAATCTCAGAGAACAGCTGAGGGTCAAAAACAATGTTCTATTTCTCCATTGCTTACAAAGCCAAATTAATTTGAAAATCCTGGATTAAATGACCTTGTTTAACCTAGGATTTCTCAGCCAAATTTGACCATGAAATTCTTTTATCCACATGACACCTATTAACATCCATGGAACTGGTGTTCCATGAAGCACATAGTGTGGGAAACACAGTCTAAAATTTCTGAAAACTAGTAATTCATGGGCAAACACTCAGGCTTGCAGTTGTTCAGAGGATGAAACACACTAGTTTGAGATTAAAGAGACTTTCTGTTCATTCTCCAAACAAGTTTTTATTCGACAGTTTTGGAAGACTATACTTCATGAGACTGAAACTAACATGTAAAACAGTCTCTAAGGGGCACAGCTGAGGCTGAGCTCTGGTTTGGGTTTGAAGAGGAGGTAACCCCCGACTTCTCTCTTCCCGATCAGGCAGCAGTAAAGGCCGTGGTGGCCTCTTCCCGGTTGGGCAGTGCCAGCAGCAGCCATGGAAGCATCCAGGAGAGCCAGAAGGCCAGCAGAGAGCCATCTCCAACCCAGGAGGGCAATGAGGATGTTAACGCCATTCCAAGAGGAGAAGAAGTTCAAGGAGATGGGGCCCAAGTGGCAGTTATGGGGACAGAGGTTGAGCCGATGAAGGTGCAGGCCACCGAGGCAGCGGAAGGCGCTGATAGAAATGCTGCTGAGGCCCCCAGGCTGGTGCCCGAGGTACTGGAGGATGGGAGAAAGGTGCCCAGCCTGGAAATAGAGGAGGGCCTCGTGGAGGAGCAGCTGAAGACTGTGGAGCAAGCAGCATCCCCCAAAGAAGGGCAAGAAAACCCTGCTCTGGGATTTGGAGCTCAGCAGAATGATGTTATCCTGCCAGAGTACTAAGCTGGCTTCCTTCCATCGGGAAGCCAAAGCCTGGCACTGTATGCATTTTGTCCTTCAGCAAGGAAGGTGTGGAAGCATGATGTGCACTCTAGTGATTCTGTTTTTGAGGTGCAAAAAAAAATACATATATATATCAGTTGGTAATCCTAACTTCAATGCATGTGACTGCTTTATGAAAAAAACAGTGTCTTCTGTGGTATGTAATGGATACCTAATACTGATGAGTTTAATTTGAAATTGCAAGTAAATGCAACATAACATTTAAAAACATAACATCTTCAGGGACCAGTAGCACACATTTAAAGTAACTAGTTACAAATTGTTTTTTCTTTGAAAACCTAGCTGTCCTACATCCTATGGATTTCTTCTCAAGGCAGTAACTCCTTTGGACTATGACTGCTCAGCTAATATGAGGCAGCGCTCTAAGACATGTGCCCATGACATGCGCAGCATTTTACTTTTCATTAATCTGTTCAAACTGTTTACAAGAGATGGGTACAGGTTGTATAGGTTGCGGTTGTATGGTATGTGCAAAAAAAAGTCCACTTATAATAATAAGAAATTGAAGCACACTTTAAGGGCTATGAATCCATATGCCCCTAAAGCTTGTGTGGAGAATGCTTTTTTATTTTGTCCTTATTTATGCACATAAGTTGCTAATAACCAAAAACATTCTATCAAGAAATTCTGGAGAAAGTATTTTACAAAGTCATGCTGAGGAATGTCACCCTTCCCTCACATGCTCTCTAATAAAATGTCCTGTTGGGACAACACTTAAGACAAAGGAAGTTAGGGAAGAAAAGGAGAGAAGACTGGGCCTTACACTAGCAAGGCTGACTCCTTGTCATTTATAGATGAAACTGTATTTACTCATGAGTTTGTAAAACTTTAAAGACAGGAACATTTTCTGGATAAACTCTATAGTTACCAAGTTTCAATCATCTACCGAAATCCACCCCCACAGGCTGTTGCTGAAATATCTTAAATCTAAATAGAGTGGCAATACTATTCCATTACAAGATTATTCATTATTGACTTTACTAGAGTAAGAAGGCACTTTTATTTATAAAAGTCCTTTTTCCTTCCATTTATGGTTGTCTAGATATACTACTTACGAACTAAAGATATTTCTGAAAAGCTAGTATAACTTTTTCTCATGCTTAAAATGGAAGTGACCACATTTTACAATGTAATTTTTATAAGTTTCCATATCAAGTAATTCAGAACAGTGGAATTTTTTTATTTACCTTAAAAAACGAAAAAAGAAACAAAGAAAAAAAATGCTGATTTCAAGTCAAACTCCTGAGAAGCTGTTACATTAGACCTAAAACTTTACTATTTTTCCCAATATGTTTTAATTTGATTTTCATATGAACTTTTCTCTTACAGAAATCACACTTAAATTCCAAGTACCTAAGATGTATTTCTAGTTTTAGTTGAAATGCACATTTTTTATCAAATTACTTATGCATCACATTTACTCGGATTTCTTAATTTTAAAAAAAGATTATTTTCAAAGACCAAAATGATAAATGATAAAAGTAGCCCATAAAAATCCTCATAAAAAAAAAGAGAAATTCTTTTGACTCTGCCTCCAAACTCTTCCATTGGAAAATTAAATTAAATCTCTGATCTCTGGAGGCTGTTTGTTGTTCGTTAGGTGTTCTGCTTCTCTGACATAAACTTCCTTTCCCACCACTCCTGAGAAGAAAGCAAGGCCTCACCTGGACTCAGAGGATGATCATTTTTTGTTTTATTCTCATTAACTAGCAGAGTACTTATCCTCTCCTTCCCTGTTTCTTTCCCTCCTCCTTTATTCTCTCTCAGAATTCCTCTTTGAGCTATTATAAAAAGCTCACTATTTTTAACCTTTAAAAATGCCTTTTTCACCAAGCTTCAGATTTACATTAAAAAAAGACCAATTTCCTGGTGTATTTTTCCCAAGGAGAATTAACAGGTATATGTGGTAAGTGTCCCATATATTGGAAAAGGGAAGAGGGGTTCAGGGACCTTATTAGAAAGTGGCAATTAGGTGAAAGATCAGAACATATCTTCCCTCCCAGCCAAGCCCACATTGTTCCAAGGGTGTTTTGTCATCCCGACGCACATGCTGACTGCACTGGTCAGCCTCATGGACGATAGGAACAGCTTTGCAAGTGCCAGGGCCCATGTGTGTCTAAGAAAGTACCCATTAAATGAGTACACATGCCTATCTCGTGGTGAGTACTTGGTGTAGGGATAATTTCCTGTTTGTTTTTTTTAATGTGTAAATTGTACTTCCTAAAAATCAATGGGAGGTTTAAATTTTGACTTGTATATTAAAGATTAAGTCCTAGTGACTAATTTAGTTATTTCAGTGGAAAACAAGTCCAACTTTCACAAGAACTGGTCTTTTCAACTAAACGAGTCAATCTCAGATTTCATTGAAATGCAGCTTCTGAATAATTAGGTTAACATTTTGAAAGAACAGCAAACATTTATATTGTTTGCTAAAATGGAATATATTATCTATCTCAAAAACTAGCTAAATAACAGTAGACTATTGCAGATAGAACCTTAACTTGACAGACGGACCATCTTGAATTATTTCCCCCATTTAGAAAGTCTAATTAGAATTCTAGTGGTTTTTCTCACACTTGAAGAGCTCACTCATGCCACAAATACATAAATAAGGTAGAAATTAGAATAATACGGTTATGGAAGTTACAGTCTAGGACAAGTACTATCTAATATAAATTTAATGCAAGCCATATATGTAACTTCAAATTTTCTCTTAGCCCTATTTTAAAAAGTAAAAGGTGAAATTAACTATATATTTAATCCAATATATCTAAACTATTATTCCAATATATGATCAATGTGAAAAATGAATGATGTATTTTTAATTTTTATACGAAGTTTTCAAAATGGGGAGTACAAGTTTTCCCTACAGTACATCAAGCGCTCATAATCACATGTGTCCTAGAGTACTTTTTAAGCAAAGTGACACATGAATAACTATGCTTAGATTTGAGCTGCCTCAGTTTTCCACACTGATGAGTTGGTAGAAGGCCAAAAGAAAATGTTTCAGAAATGTCACAGACAGAAATAACTAAACACTCTGTTGGCCACTTCTGCTCATTCATGTGCTTCAGAGAAGGAGCATTTCCCAGCATGACTTGTAGAGAAGAGGACTTTCCCGGGCATTGCTAAACTGTCGGCCACAGTCCCTCTAATCCTTCTTTGGGCCCGGGGAATCTTGACTGCAAGCTTGACCTCCTGAGTACTGCCATGAAGCCAGGAGCATTCTCACACACCAGAATTTGCTGTGGGTGAACCGTGTGTCCTGTCCCGACACAGAAAGGACTGCACACAGAATCTCAATACGACTTTGTAGTCCTGGACAAGGCTGGACACCATCCTTGTGCTGCAGCAAGTATTTCTTTCTAGAAACATACTGAGACATACCAAATTTGCATGATGAAGTTATATGATGATGATGATGACAGCATCCCATTAACCTCAAAAATGGGAGTATGACTATCAGCTGGCATTTTTTAGATTTCCTTAGAAAGGTTTAATCAACACTGCCATTCCACGTGGATTCAAAAGACTTTTGGAATTTTCTTACACACTGCTATTTTAGAATAGTCCTCAAGGTTCTATAGCCGTTTTTAATGGCAAACTTTTAAAAAAAGAAACAGTTTGCCTTTTACTGTGACCTCAGTTACACGGTATTTTAAATATATTTTGTAATTTAGAATGTCTAGCAACCCCTATTTCCAGTTTCACATGCATGGTAACTGCTGGTGGGTAGCCTACAGCCTGAAGATTTGAAGGTATTTCTTTGCGTAATTCAATTTTTATTTCACAGAAGCATCTGGTTGCATTTTAAATTGGAAAAAACAGAAGTAAAGGCCAGAAAAGGCAAAGAATAAAATTAGTAAACCATTTATTCCATTTTAGGATTGTTATTGCAAAGGAAATGAAAAAAAAAAGTCAATGAAGTGAATCAGCACTAGGTTTTTCTTGATGGCTGACGCCACATGTCATTGACATAAATATGCTGAGCAGAGCCAGTTACATAACTACAATGCCATTATGTAATTTACTTGTCATTGCAGAGTATTGGTCTGGTTCTGTAGGTCTACTTTAGATCTTGCAAAGTTTCCAGACATTTACTACATAATAGGATTTGTAACATCCTTGTAATTACTGCTTATTAGGTCATATTCCAATTTCCTTAATATTCATCTCTGATATGTTCCTGAACAAGGTCACTGCTAACATTTGAGCATTTACTAGCTAAATGCTGCTTAATGGTTAGACTCTCTCTGTATCTTTAATGTTTTTTTAAAAAGACATTTATGCACATGGAATCTCGATATTGGTGTTTTAATATTCCTAACTACATGATAAGCAGAAATGTACCTAATAATTTTCCATAATTTTTTTTCAAAGTTTTTTTATTCCCCTGGCAACTCAGGGTGAATTTCTGGGTCTTTGACAAAAATAGAAGAAAAAAACACCACTGGGGAGAGATCAGCTACTCACTTTTGGTAACCAAATTCAGTATTTCCTCTTCTATATTCTGATCTCCTAAGGCTCATTTTTGTCATTATTACTCCTTTCAGATATCACCTGAGATCAGATAATATAATCTCAGCCCATAAACCCCAAACATTTGTATACTTATCTTGGAGAGCAATAACAAATTTGACTAATTTATGTGTGCTTGTTTGAAATTCCTATTTTCATAAACATTTGTGATGTACTCTAGAGAACTGGATAGCCTGATTTCGGTCAAGACTCAGCCCTTTGCATGCCTTGGGGCCCAGAGGTCCACTAGGGCAAGATGGAAGCCTTGCCAGGAGGGTGGACCGTCTGACTCCTTCGCAGGAGTCGAGTAAAAGAAGACCTCTTCCTCCACTCTGATCGAAAGAGATACTGTTTGAATTATGATATATTGCTATTATTCAGTAATGGAAAAATGGGATTCCACCAATCATTAGCTGTTCCCAGCATCTTGGTTTGCTACCACTTGTCCCAGATCAGTATTCTGTTTGTTGTTCTGCCCATCAGGCCACCTCAAGGACTGTGAGATCCCCTAAAACCCTGGAAGGAACATCCCAGGCTGGTTGGAGAAACATGGGGCCGTTGCCCAGGATTTGGCTGAAACTCTGAACAGGGATGCTGAGACTGCAAAATCAAACTATTCTTAAGTTGTTTTCAGCACATTTTGAAGATTGACCTGGAAAACCCATGGATATGGAATAGTTATGTCTATGTACTCTTGCTGTGATTCATTGTTTGAAAATGACAGATATTTAATCTTCAGCCAGATTAAATATTTATTTTCCATTTAAAAGATTATTTCGGGCTATTCAAGTATAAGAGTTTCACATTAGAATATTTGAAAGCTGTTGTTTTTGAAGTGCTTTCATTCTGTCAACCAGTTGTGGATGATAAAATCTTACTAGGTTTGTCCGTTCTCTGTCCTTTCCTTGATACCTGTACATTAGTGTACCTAGTTTGTAAGGGATAGAAGTTAAGTATGCCTGAAAATTGAAAACTGTTCTCTCTTAACTGCCTCCTTTTAACCTGACCTATTTTATAGTCTGTCATGCAGCCAATATACAGTAGCATAGAGTACAGACAGTAAATTCATGAGCTATGATTTTGTTTACATTTTCGTCAAGGTTATGACTTATGTTAGAAGTCCCCAAGGTGTTTCTATTTGCGTACCCTTAGTCTTGCTAATATTTTCATAGTGCCCTCTGCAGCCAAAAGAATTAAGTAACTTGCCCATTTATAAGTAGGTCCAAACTACAGAATAGTACTGTATTTCACGTCCAACAGGTGTTGCTGTGTTTCCCTTGAAATGTTTAAACTTCCTGGGTTCACTGAATGCAAACAGCAAACAGAGGTTTAAGTAATTCCTTATGCCCAATGAACTAAGGGTATGAGGAAAAAGGGATTATTAGTAAGCAAGTTACGACTAATGTTTATACTCTTTCTTATTTGAATGCCAACCATTCTTTTTACTTACAGTCTTTGTGATATATGCATAAAACTTATATGTGCATTTTTAAAAAGTAATTTCCATATAATTACCCAAGGAAATAAATTTAAATCTCCAAAGACCAGTTTTCAGGAGTCAGGCAAACTATGGTTCACAGACCAAATCCACTAGGCCTCTACCTGTTTTTATAAATAAAGCTTTATTAGAACACAACCATGCTCATTTATTTACTTATTGGCTGGTTGTTTTCATGCTTCTAGGCAGAGCTGAGTTTCATCCGAGACTGTATGGCCCAGCAAAGCCTAAAATGTCTATCTGGCCCTTACAGAAAAAAATTGATGAGCCTAGTTTTTCATGGCATCCCATGCCTTTTTGGTGACATCTAGGAATACAGATTCCCATACTTCAAATTTCTTTAGGTTAAGGTTCTTATTTCCATTTGCTTCTTAGGAAGTTAGGAGAGCTTTGTTTCTGCTGCAAATGATCTCACACTAGTCATTGTGCTGGACATGTATAAAAGTTAGTAAAATTTCTCTACAAAACCGAAAATTCAAAATTGCATCATTTCTGAAAAAAGAAATTGAGTATGAATTAACTTGGCTAAGAGAGAAGAATTAAAAAGATTCCTAGCACTTTGAGCATGTTTTAGAAATTTGACCCTTATATTTAAAATTATGTAAATGACTTCTTACATTGGTATTTGCTTACATTTAAGTCATTCTGCAGCTGTTACTTATTAAGCTAAGAAATAAGAAAGCCCTTTGGTTCTGAATCCTTCAGTATATTCTCAAGTAATTTACAGCAATTGGATTTTCACTTAATCATTTTAGGAAATAACATGCTTTATTATGTGGCATTCTGTGACAATGACGTGCTCATCAAATAGCTCAGGGAACAGGCAAATAGCCAATTCTATTATGGAATAAGGTACTTTCCAATCCCCATGTTTCTCTGAGTATTCTTTGCAAAGAGAGGGCCTTGAGTAAATGCTTTCCTTTACTTTTCTTACATATTTAGAAACCCAAGAAGAGTCCTTCTTTTAGTCTATTTCTGTCACAGAGAAATTACTTATTCCACAATATCTGCCTTAAGGGAAACAGGTGACCCAGATATTGAGAAATGTAGGCATGTATGACCTTTGTGTTTTTGAACATCTATAGCCAAGAGGTTACAAATGAGATATTGAAAGGAAGAGCTCTTATCAGCTTATTAGTTATACCTAAAATGACATCATGATTCTAATTAAATAATATACTATTTTCCTTAAACTGTAGCAAAAATTAGTATGGTGTAGCTACTGGGATACACTATGAGCTTGGGGAAGAAATGAATAGTCTGCCAGCTCCTCATGGTTGCTGTGTGTAGGAAGACTCTGGAATGGGACAGGGAAAAGTTATATGAGGATCATGCCCTCCTATCCATTTTTGATTGCTCAAAGTTTGAAGGCAGTTGTTAAAGGGCTTAAATTAACATTTCTTCGTTTCTCTCAATATCTGGGTCACCTGCTTCCCTTAGAAGTGAATAGACCAAAGTCAATAGCTAATTTTCCTCTCAGACCAAAATTAAACAGTGTAGCTTAGGGGATAGTAAGCCTACATCACAAGCACACTTTAAGGAAATGACTTATTAATTTTGAAGCTTCCCAGGGGTAGCCCATCCCAGGAACCCATTTTCTCAGCAAACTTTCACAGAGAAACAGGTGCAATAAAGGAGTCAGAGATGAGTTAAATCCAGTGCTACTCTCTAGAAGTGAGCTTTGTAGTTGGGGAGAAAAAACAAGGATACATATAAATAGCCTGTATTAAATCTAGGCAGATAGTAAGTCCTCTAGGGATGGAAAGAAGGAAAAGCTCCCCTTCACCTGGAATGCTCAGGGAAAGCTTCACTGGAACACAGGCCGGGTTTGAAGGATGGGGAGAATCTGCAGGTAGGGAGGAGGAAGGGGGCATGTGCTGTCTGGCTGGGAAATCCACAGAGCATCTATAGAGTGGAGAAATGCAAGACAAAGTGAAGGAACACACTGGGTGTGAAAAGCTACAGTCTACAGGGAGGTGTTGCTCAGTCTGCAGAAGAATTTCAAATCTTGTGCAAAGGTGAATGAGACCACCTTGCTGCTTTCTTACTGTGGGTAGACGTGCAGCATTTCCTCAGAGCATCTAGACCTCTCTGATCTCCTACATCCTTGGCTAATTTGGGGCATCCCAAAGCAGAGTAAAACTCACCCATCACGGAAAGACAATTTTGCAAATCACTAACTGAAGCAAGCCTCAGTCAGTAAAAATGCATTAGTCAGGTCTCTGCTGACAAAGTACATCAACAATGTTAGTGACTATCTGAGTAAGTTTTGCAAAACTCCAATATCTGAGTTAAGGCCCTATGACTCTAGAAAATCACCTTACTTGCTAAAATTTTGCCAGTGGAGGCTCATGCCAAGGTTACTTCCGTCACAGTTACTTTAACCCTTTAAATTATCTGACCTGAAAGGACAATCCTGCAGGGATTGAGATGGAATTATAGCTGAAAGCTTAGATTTCAAAAGGTAACCTGTACAAAAAAGCTAAGTCTCAGACAACAAAATTTAGAATTTTCAGAGTTGTTTTCCCCAAACATCAAGCTGGTCCTGTCAAGTCCTTTCTTCTACATCCCTCCCTTTTGCCCTTTTACATTTCCTTCTATAAAGTCCTTTTTTATATCACTCATTGCAGGCAGTATTTTACATCCATCTTCAAGAAACGTGTTTTTTAAAAACACTGAGATCAGATTGCAGTATATCTGCTTTTAGTTGTCTTGCCACTTTGTTTCTTTCAGATAAAGTATGTGATTAGTGAATAGCTGCATTACTCCTCAGGGCAAATGAAATGAAGGGGGACAAAGGCTGACTATCATGAGTGATGTAAGAGAGGCTAAAGACAGAGCCTGTGAAGGTACAGAAAACACAAGTGAGCAGGCTTTGCCAAAGGAATGCTTCCCACTAAGGTTTTCCAGGCTTGTGATGGTATTTGGCATATTTGTTCTAGTTTTTCCTAGAGGAGAAATTTGTATTCTTGGACTGTTGAATGTTATGTGCAGTGAAGGAGTAAGAGGTGAGCTAAATCCAGTGCCACTGTCTGGGAGTGAGCTTTGTCGTTGGAGAGAACAAGTATACATGTACAGAGCCTGTGCTAAATCTAGGCAGGTACTGAGTCCTCTAGGGATGGAAAGCAGGAAAAGCTCCCTTCCAGCTGGAATGATCAAGGAAAGCTTCACGGGAACACAGGCTGGGTTTGAAGGATGGAAAGAATCTGCAGATCAATTAAGCAACAAGTTGCAGCAGAGGGTTAGATGGAAGGGCTACCACTGCATCCAGGAAACCTAAGCCCTAGGAGTTCAGACTGTAAGTCATTAGCCAAAAACAAGTGCATGTAGGATTTGGAAGACAAAGTATAAATATTTCAGTTTACACAGCCAAGATCATAGGCTACCTTCCCAACTCCTGATTGAAAAGTGTTGAAAAAGGAGCTGTGAATATTTCATTTTTAAAACCTATCAAAATGGTGCTATTTACTTTCCTTAATATGAAGATATATTAGTGTTTTTTAGGTAAACATGTTAAGTCTGATCTGGCTATAAATATAAATACAGAAAATGTTTGTAGAGAATTCATCAAAGTCATGCCCATTCACTTTTGATTGAGCTACCATATTCTTCCAACAGCGGTAACTGGTAACAAATCCCTACTTCCTACAGATGGGACACAACGGTCACTGGCTCTCAGCTGCCCAGAGCCTGGGGCAGACAACAGGAGAGCCACAGACAACTGTGGCTTCTTCTTGGACTCGGGTTGGATAAGCCAATTAAATGACTAAACATGCTCACTTTTTGGTGTCTCCCAGGAACAGAAAGTTAGAAGGTGTGACATGAGGCAAAATGGATGTTGGTAGACTGCTGTAACAGACCTCAGCAAGGGCCAGTTGCGCTGTGTAAGTCTGCCCCAATGTGTGAGAGCATGCCAGAAGCAGCATACACCTTACTGCTGGGAAATGTGTAAAGCTATTTGCATGTACAGTATAATAAATCATCCAAGAGCCCACCAACACTTTGCATTCTGTGATTTGAAACGTTACGACAAATCAAAAACGACACATGGACATTTTTCCTTACATCTCAACTATGGAGTTGAATCATCTTTTGAATGTTTTCCCATTCTTGCAGATATAATTATACTTTGACTTTCATAGCATTCTAAATGCTATAGTGATGTTATAATACACATAAAATCATTAAAGTTAAAAGGGTACCTTAGGAATCATTTAATCCACCAAACTCTATTAAAGAGAAGTGACATACAGAGAGGTAATGACTTATCTAAGGTCACGGTTAGTGGCTAAGAAAAGAATAGGTCTGGGTTGCCCATCTCCTTGCCCAGAGCTTTCACCACTGGGAAGTCAGACAATGTATACAAGAGAGATGCAGCTATTCAAATAAAGATTGAGTTTCAGTATAAAAATTTGAAAATGCAGAAAAGTAGAAAATTATCCAAGTAACACCTTCCAAAGACAGCATTAAGTTTTTTTCTAGCATGAGTTTTTTTCTTAGACTTGTAATCATACTGGAACTTTTTTGTATCAACCTATCACTACAGCAAAAACATTTTTGCATAATCTTCACATTTATGGTACCTGCATAGTAATCCAGTCTCAATTCTTTCTTCCTCAGTAACACTACATAAAGCCTTTTCTGTGCAAGAAATCTGTCCCAAGGAAGTCATCCATTTAATATAGAATTGTGGGGCCAAATGTTATTCAGTGGTCACTTCACGATGAGCTTTCAAGGACTTGAGAATGAGGGAAAACCCTGCGTGTTCACTCTTAAGAAGCTGACTATCAGCCACATGAGTTGTAAACAGATCTGAAAGTCTTTCTTGAGCTTGGCTACTCAATCATTGGCAAACACTTGTGTGAGGTATTTGAGGGGAAGGGGATGATATGACAGTGGGGCATACCCCCTTCCATAACTGCAGCTTGCTGCTACCATCAGGTCCAAAGTCCTTGCTTTGCTAAGACACACTTACCCTAAACAATGACTTCCCATTTGAGGGAACTGAGGGAAATGCTAAAGACAAACAAAAACTACTACATTTTTTACTATAAGAGACATATCCTTTTTTTTTATTTCAACCTGGTTTTGCACAATCTATGGTCTACTTCCTTCAATAAAATGAATCAGCTGCCTTGTACTTCAGGGATGCCAGTAAAGCAAAACTTAAGTAGGAATGTACAGTTCCTGCAAAATACTGAGTAAAAGCCAATTTTTACTTTCACAGTATGCTTCCTCTTTTATTTTTATCAGCAGAATACTACACCCTACTAATCACCTGTCCAGCTAATAACACAAGTAGATTGAAGTTCTTATGTCCTGGGATACATCTGCAGTGCACATTTTCCAGCAATTTTGTCATCTCTTGACCACAGAGGCCTTCGTTCATAGTAGACCCTTTGCTTCAGAGGAATAGAAACACAGTGTAATATAAACACAGGTCATTCATGTTGGATGCCATGCGACATCAACCATTAATTAACAGCCTACAGAGAAAGCTCCATCATCTTATTAACTCAGTTAAGGATAGCTACCCAGTGTTTGCCATGTAGAAGGGGCCCAATACACATTTATCATGAAGGAGTGACTACTTTGCCACTTTCATTTCTGTTTTGGAAGTCTACCACTTTCCTACTGATGTCTGAAGGAGCCTTACTTCCCAGAGCTCATCCACTGAGAGATGCTACAGTTGGCTATCCAAAGAGTCAGCAACCAACCCTCTTTCCAAGAGACTGGAAATCCTCATGCTTGACTTCCCAGGCACCCCTACAGCTAGGGATAGTCATGTGACCCAGACTATTGGAAAGAAAAGTTACTGTAGGCCTCTGGGACAGCTTTTGCTTTCCTGATAAAACAGACTGATGAGTGGCCCCTTGCCTTCCCCTGCTTCTTTTGACTTGAACAGACCTGTAATTTCCAGGGCTAGTCAGTCACCTTATCACTATGAGGGAAAGATGAGAACTGGAAAAACATTGACCCTGACATCCTGGAGCTGGAAACACTAGCAATTACCTATATCCAGATTTTTTAGTAAATGTGGAAGATAAATCCCTGTTTGTTTAAACCATTTGTCATATTTCCTATTGCATACTTCTCACAGCATCCATACTGCTTCCTTACACACACACCAAGGGTTTCTTTGTAATCACTCCCAGCTTTTTTCAACACCAAATGAAATTATTACAACTACTAATGAAGTTAACACAATTATTTATACCTGTATACAATAAACCCTGTCCATATGTTATTGTAATAGGAGCAGAATATATTCATCATCAACCTGGTTATATAATAGAAAATCAATATTCAGCAGTATTGTGGCTAATATTGTATTAGTGGGAGATTAGCATGTGCATCTTTATTTTCCAGTTTATATTTTTCTTCTGTAAGAGTACAGGAAGTTAAATTACATCTTTTAAGTTCAGATAACTGAAAGTATTTGTCAAAACAATACTAAAGCCAATTACACAAACAGTATAAATGATCAATTCTAAGAGTGTCTAGAAACTTTATTCTGATGTCACAACAATTTAAAAATAAATAGACATTTTATTTATATTAATACATGCTCTTAGTTTAATAAAGGTTCTGGTTTTACATACTGGCCCATAAAAGAATTATAAACTTCTTAAAAATAAAATCTATATTTAGTAGACCTTTTATTGAATTGCAGATGAATTTTTATTTACCTATACATGTAAAATCTTTGGAAACAATAAAATAATGAAAAATTATAATCCCAAATTCCTGTGCTCTGGGATTAATCAAATGTTTCTATGCTCAGATCCTACAATACCCTAATTCTGGAAGCTGAAAGGCATAGGAGATACATCAGACAAATAATTACATGAGACACCTTCTAATGGAAAACTAGTCAAGTCCCTTAACTTCTCTGAATTACACTGATATACCCATGGAGTTGGAATAGCAACAGTATTCACTTAATTTTTAAAAATTGGATTTTTTTAACAACTGATTCGAAGGATGCTAGTGTGCTCCTCAGTAACAGATAAAGCTTTTATCTACATCAAAGAGAATTATTCATATCTAAAAGCTTAATAGACAATTAAGGATCTAAACTGTGCAGTATTTTTTTCTCTTCTCCAGAGGCAACCTCGATTACATGATTTTTAGCTTGAGATGTTAATTTAATTCAACCTGAGTGATAAAATGTGAAAGAGGAAGAGAGAAAAAGTTTTTTAACTCAGAGAAAATTTTACACATAAAAATCTACAATTTCAAATACATCCAACCTCAGTGAAGAGTGAAATTAAGAGATTTTTAACATTTACAATCTCTCTTTAATGCTCTAGCAGCTTATATCAAACATAACTGCAGAACACTAAATTCCCATAATTATTTTGCTGAGTATTATGTTAAATTTAACCAAGAATTATCAAGACAAACTAATATTTCATGCAAACATGTCAGTTATGATAAATTATTTTTTTCTTGTATGAAACTAATGACCTTAAAAAAATAGGTACTTATGAAGGCAGTACTGTGCCAAGTATTTCCTGCATATACACACATTTCTAATACAAACTAGCTATAAGTTAGAGAAAATAATCAACCACGTAACATCAAAGCAGATTTTATTTTTCATTTCAATAACTGTCATTTGAAAAGTTAGTTACCTTTAAAGAACTCTTTAGCTATAATTTTATTTTATTGACACCTACTAACTGATTTATTTCTACATTCAGAGGTCCCCATTTAGCAAATGCTGCAGGTTCCAGAGATCAGGACAATATTTAAGAGAGTAATTCTATGAAATTCTGTCCTTTATATTATAAAAAGATAAATTAATACATTTACTACAGGACTGTGCTATTCAGGACAGGCCACTGGCCTCAAGTGAATAATGAGCCCTTAAGATGCAGTTAGCACAAATTAGTGAAATGCATACAGATTTCAAATAATTAGTGCAAAAGAAGAATGTAAGCTATCTTAACGATTTTTTTTTACTTGTTTAAATGCTAATACTTTGGATCTATTGAATTAAATGAACTATATTATTAACATTATCTTCAGCTGTTTTTGTTTTTTTTACTGTATTGCTAGAAAATTGAAAACTACCTCTATGGCCCCCATCATTTTTTCTATCCTACAACACTGCTGAAACAGCAGACTCAGTCATATGACAACACCGATCCCAGCCCATGTCATTGAATTTTTGTAATGATATGTGGATAACATATTTAATACATTATCACAAGATTCCTGAGCTTGGACTCAAACATACCTCTGCTCTTAAAAATAAACACAAACACAACCTATTCTAATCCTTTTCATTATCTTCAGTATATTGTCAATTGTGCTGAACTTTGGTTAGGTAAGAATCTGCAAACGGGCAAAAGGGACCTTTTCGCATGATTGAAATGTTCTCAAATTGGATTGTGATGATGGCTGCACAGCTCAAAAACCACTGCACTGTATACCTACAGCTGGTAATTGTATAGAATGGAAATTTCATAGCTTTTTTTTTTCTTTGAAGTACATAGCTAGACCCCAGCAGATCCAATGTGCCATCCATCTAGGAGCTGCATATAAATTTCAGGTAATTCAAATACAATTTTTCAATCCATCATATGACTCATTATTGTAATGAAAACTTCCCATGAGGGTCCCTTTACCTGCAGTGGGTCCACATTCAGCAGTGGATTACATAATCACCAGCTGAAAGTATAAGTTGAAAAGGAGAAAGGGAACATTACAGTAGCGGAAAGTGGACAGTTTACTTGCCTTTAGAGGTCCCAGCTCTGGCAATAATAGCCCTTATGGGAATATACAATCTTGTCACAAACCCCTTCCCCAAACTGGCCCTTGTGACTGGACATCTGCTGGTATTTTGCCATCCTAGACAGACCACTGGAATGTAAGAAATCTCCTACTCTACACTAGCAAATCCAAATGAAAGAACAGATGAAGTAAAAATTAACATTTAACATGTCTATGGGAAACTGAAAGAAGCTGAACTGCTGAGTTTTCTTTCTCTATTGCAAGAAGAAAAACAGGAGGAGAGAAATCCAGCAACTCAGCAGTTAGAGTCATTTAGAAAAGGATGTTGGTGACTAATAAACTTGAAGTTAAGAATATAGCACCTTTTGTGCATTGCTTCTTGTCAAATCCTGAAACGAATTATTTTCAACCGAAAAAACTGTGTTACTCGCTATGGATATTGTGGTGCCACCTTTGGTATTTTTTGAACCTCATTACCTCCAAGAGCAAAACAAAAAAAATAAGAACAAGATCAGCTCTACTTTTTTCATTCTATCAAAATAAGTCTGAAGAACTGTGACTTACACTTTCTCTGCACTCAGGAAAGCACACTGCAATAAAACATAAGCATTCTCTGCACTTGAACAATTATATGCTTTGGTGCTGTGTGGCCTGTGTACAACGTCAGTGTTTCCAGAGCTCACTTAACCCCAGGGTAACCAAGAAGAAGAGAAAGAAGAAATGAAACAGTAGGAACAGGAACACATCAAGGACTCAGGCTGAATCACACCGAACACTGAAAAAGGCTTCAAGATGTGTGCATGTACACAAACATAAACACATACAAAAGTCTGCACAGACACACTGAGTTGCCTCAAGTTCTCATTTAAGAAGTAAAGTTAAAAGGATAGTTCAAGAGCTAAAGAATCATCTGGAATGTTAACATCACTTAGGAATGTTCATTTAAGGCAGCCATAGAATCAAGGAACCTATTATATAGTCCGTCCTAGTTATAAAAATGACTCATCTCAGCATTTGGATAACTCTATGAGTGCATTTGTTATAGTTCCCGACTGAAGTTACATCACAATTGTGAATGTTGATGATTTAGTCAGCAATACTTTATGAGGTGAGGGATACATTTAAAACTGAAACATGTATAGAACACTGAATTTGACTTTCTAGGGAGATGATGATTAATAGGGGTGAATACAGAATACCATTAGTTATTTCACTCAATCCAGACAACTGCCCAATACATGGGGTGTCCCCAGCACATACTGGGCAGTTTTTTGTACTGTCTTATTGATACATCAATGCTTTTTAATACTACCATAATAAATGTACATAAAGATACAAATATATTCTTAATAGACCCACAAAATAATATTATGTAGGTATCAAAATTGAATTGCATTTGTATTATACCTACAGTTACTATATCTATTTTTTTCTTCTGATCTTTCTAATACTTAAAGTAGTACAAGTTGACAATGAAGTTCATCTTTATAAAATATAAAGAGCTTTTTCTTTAGGTCAAGATACTGGCAAACTCACAGAGCATATCAAAAGAAAAGCACTAATATTTAACTTCCAAAATCATTACAACTTTTACAATATGTTCATAAAGCTCTAAAATAAGATTATTTTAACCTAAAAAGCATAAAGCTTGTGCTTTCTCTAACTTCCAAGCAGCCAAAATATTCATACTGAGGCACTGTTCAATTTCTTAAGAGTCTGGATCAAAGAACTGTATCTACTTTTTGGTGGATTTCTGTCATATTCTCCATTCCTAGATACACTGCCATACCAGACAATGTGCAAATAACTGAGAAGACTAAAATGTTCTCTTATATAGCCATTTACCTTAGGAATAAAATAAATCAAAAACATCTCAAATTTTCTACAGGCACGCAGAAGAGAGAAAAGAATGGTTTTTAGAGGCCATGCAGCTGAAAAAGAGAGTTGATTCAGGGAACCACAGTACTCCAAGTTTTGCATATCATGCGTTTTGTAAGGCTTTTCGTAAATCACCGTAGAAGTTGATTAAAGTGCTTGCCATGGCTGTATCTACTGCAGACTGAGGAATCATCCCACGAAGATCCGTCTGAATATAGCCAGTCAAAAGACTCTGGTTTGGATTGTCTTTAAGTGGAACACAAAACCAACCACAGGGATGGTTATATCCACGAACAAATTCTGGTCTCTTTTCATTCCAGTCAAGACTTAGCCCTACAAGGCAATTTAAAAATAGCACTATTAATGGCAATGACTGAGTAGTCAAAAAGTCATTTAAGAAGTTACAGGATTTCTTATTTATTTTTCCTCTTATTCATATAGATGAAAATTAAGCCCCAGGAGTGCCCATGGAGGAATGAAAAAGGTAATTCCCAGGTGGAGTTCTGACAGTACACTGGCAGGCAGGTAACGGGGAAAGTCCTAATCCCTTGAGAATGGATGACATCATGTATCTTGGTAACTCCTTGGAAACTACAGCTCTCAGCGGCAGCATCCAGGCCTCAAGGTGCCAGTAGCCAAACCTACGGTACCACCACAACTCCCCACGGGCAAGACCCTATCCAGCGTTTGTACTGGCTGGTTAAGAATAAATAAGTACAGGTTTACCTACCACCACCATCTCAAGCATGTACTATACCAAAAAAAAAAAAATAAGAATTTACCTATAGATATTATTTTAGAAAGCAGGAATCTTCTAACAGAAGTATTTTTAATTTCAAAAAGAAAAATATTACACAGCTCGAGGAAAAAAAAATATTCTAACACATACCAAGCTGTCTCCTGACAGTGACATAAGAGGAAATCTATTTGCTGAATCCCTTTCTTAGAGGCGGTCATATGATCCACATTTGTCAGCTAGGACCTGGACAATGCCATGTAGCCAGGAATAAAAACTTACCAGAAAGATTTCAAAACCCCTCTTAATGTTGTTATTATAATTCCTAGGGTTTAGCATTTGTAAACAAAGCTTAGAAATTATAAAATAAGTATGAAGGTTGAAAATATATCTGTCAAAGAGAAATATCTAACCTAGGAAATGCAAATATTTGAACAAATTAGAAGAAAGTATAAGGTTTTGAACAGTACCACACGATAAAAGCCCATCTTTATAGCGCACAGTGTAGGAGAAATCAACAAACTCTCTTGGGGAGATTATATTCCAAAGCTGACCAGCAGTGGTGTAACGCATCACACAGCAGTTCTGAAAGAGAACAGGTAACAGGTGCTACTACTGTAAGAAACAAAGAGACTCATACAATAAGCTAATCTTCAGTAAAAAAACAAATACTTATTTAAAATGTGCTATAATTATTATTAATAACAATTCTTACAGTGATTCTGACAGGCTTAGATTTCTATGCTAAATCTCACTGCAACGTATGGACATGAAGAAGATATATAATCAAAATAGAGTTAAATTACCCAGTATCCAATTTCTAATTTAACACAGTAGCTCTGTATCCTACATGACACTGGACATGGAAGTCAGTGGTGTTGACTGTAGGTGTTTAACATAAAATCCAAACACTTTGACTAAAACACCAAATGTTTCAGCAATGAAATTAAAACATGGCAGGAAATCAATTAGTAAAAATGGAAAAAGAAAGCAAGCCACATTGATTATATAATTCTTTAATGCCTATGGTAGCATTTTTATCTTCAGTTTTTGATTTTGGTTTAATATTAATAGAAAACCTACATATAATTACCTAGAGACCAGAATATGATAGTGGTGTTTTCATCATTTTAAATTTCAGAATCTCAACTGAAGTTTTACAGTGAAACATGCCGACAGTGTCCTTAAGCACCAAGGGTAGAGCTACTGTGGAAAACACTCAGTTCTGATGAACACTCATTAGTCAATATGAGGAAACTCAAGCTTTTAAAATAGGCAGCAAGGACTCCCCTGTGAGATCTTTGCCATGACTGCTTATCCTCAAAGCAGTGAATACAATGAATGCAAGTGTGTACACACGCCCAAGCTCACATGTTCACTTGCTCTCTCCTTCTTTCACACACACACACACAAACACCAAATCTGAAGTTATGTTTCTAAACAAATACCTCTTCAAGGTGCTCCACAATATCCATTGAAGTCATTAAGCTGTCCCAATCCAAGCGACAGGGACCTGGGCGTATATGGTCTATTACACTGTTGACAATGTCATCTATAACACCTTGGGCTTTGAAGCTGGAGAAAATATTAAAGTCGAATGCTATGAGAATGAAAAATTTCAGCATGCCCTCATGGTTCAGAGCTAACTTCAAACAAGTAAAAGTTAATGTAGACTTTTTCAAGACAGAGAAATCTCAACAACTTTTCCAATAAATTAAGTTCTACCAATTACTGTATCAGAATGTACTTTGTCCTCAAATCTGGTAAGAGTTCTGAAGGCTCTATTATGCATTACCATGAACACAGAAAAGTACCTTCATGCTGTAGCATAGCCAAAAATAGTCTATAGAACACACTGTCATGCTTCCATTTGTTTTGTACGCTATTCTTTTCTCTGCTACGCTTTAATATGTTATTAGTATACACATATTTTTCCTACTCAAAGACTTTCCACTAGGAATAGAAAAATAGGTCACCCAGGAATAGAACAGGTCTGACTCATGAATAATATCAGAACTCAACCTATTTCAAAGGTGGCCTTGCCTATCAGTGTGGGAAGGATGTACTATTCTGTAATTGGTGACTGCATTCAATAGTTATTCTAATGGAGAAAATAAAAAATGAATCCCTACTTCACACCATTCAAAACAATTTCAGAAGACGTCTTAAAGACTACTATATAAAATTTAAAACTTTAAGGAAAGCAAGTGACCATCTTTGAGACCTCAGGATACAGAGGGATTTCTTGAATACACAAACACACAAGAACACAAATTAGATGGCTGAAGTTAAAAACTTGCATATCGCAAATGACAAAACAAATAATTTCTTTAAAAACCAGCCACAGACTAGAAGAATATATGTGCAACACATATAAAACAGACATACAGATATTATAGAAGATATAATTCCTATAAACCAATGAGAAAAGACAGACAATCCAAAGAAAAGGTGGGCCAAGGACATGTTAAGACTGGTCTGAAATATCAGTAAACTTGGAGAAGATGCTGAACTTCAGTAGTAATCAAGTAAACAAAATACCATCTCATACGCCAAAGACTGGCAGAGATTAAAAACCTAATGACAAGTATTGAATGGAAGAGAAAGAGAACTCTCAAACTGCTACCTTCACTTTAGAGAGCAGTCTGGCAATATCTAGCAAAGTTAGATGATGTACATTCCTACGACCCAGGTACACACCCAGAGATAATCACACATGTGTGTAGAAGGAGACATGTACCAAGATGTCTACTACAGCACTGTACTTCACAGGGAAGAACTGACAGCAGCCGAAAAAATTTATCAGTGGGCAAATTTGCAAGCACAGATAAACACAGTGTGGTATATTCACATAAAAGTGAAAGAAACATGGCTATATTTTGAAAACATAATATTGAATGGAAAAGGTTAAAAGCAAATTACTAAAGGAAACATACACACACACACACACATATACACACATAGTCCAAATATGAGACAGGAATAATACACACATCTCGACAGTAGTTACTTCTGAGGAGAGAAGAAATGAGAGATTGGCTTTAACTCTGTCGGTAACATTTTTGGGTTCTTTGTCTTTTTGAATCATTTGAAGCTGTTTTATCATTTTGTAAATATCTCAAGTTCAAACTTACATTATCTCCCCCATCCTAAATCTGTTCTTCTGCCCTGTGTTTTCTAACTTGGGGAGGAGGGTGACACAAATTAATCCAGTTGCCCAAATTAGAAATCTAGGATTCAGCTTTGACTCTTCTTTTTCTCTTAAACCCATTCCAATAATCAGAACAAACAAGTCTCATGTTTTATCAAGATGATTTAGTAAATGTAAAGTGCTTAGAACAGTATCTGGTTCTCAACATGTTAGTTATCATCACCAAAATAACTATCACCACCACCACCACCACAACTACTATCATTAAATCTTTTTCATGTTTATTTGCCCTTCTCAACCCCCACATACATCCTTAGTTTGGGTACTCTGTGTCCAGCTCAACTTCATCTCAGTTTCTAGCTCTTCTCATCACAGATCTCAAGAATATATATATTGACTTTTTCTCAAAAATTTGAACAAAGTCCTAGGAGAACTTCAAGAATCTAATCATGTACTTCCAGGGTAAAACCTATTCTCTAAACTCTCCATGTTCATTTCCATCTGTCACAGTGTTATTACAGTATATTCAAAATCCTTTGAGGACCTAGGAGGTGGGGATGAGAGTTAAGCAGAGGGTAAGTGGGATACTGAATTCCTTAGTTTAGAATTCAAAAATCTTTCAGACAGATGCTCTCCCTACCCCATACTTCATGTTTCAACCATACAAACACAAACTCTGCTTCCCTAAACAAACTCCTTAAAGTGTTTCCCAACTGTGTTTATATAGTAGATGCAATTCCCTCTGCCTGAAACTAGTCCTTCATTCTCTAAGATGTAACTACTCTCCTGAAAGGCTCAGTTCAAGTATTAGCTTCTTTGTGAAGTCCTTTCAAATTGCCAAGTATAATTGCTCCCTTGGCACTTTTTACACTTTTCAATCCCCGCTGGGAATTACTGATCTAAAAGGATTGACTTCCATGCTTGCTTACAATGCTTATTCCAACTCCAGTGTCCCTTGTCCTTGTCATAAGTATTGTACAATTCATCTTTCTGGAAATGCTATCCTTGGTATGACACTTCAAAACACTGTGCAACAGTCAGAGGGGCCAGCAGTTTCATTTTAGAAAGGGCTGAGACCCAAGGATATGAACATTTCACTCCAATTACACATAGCAATTGTCCCCACTGGCTTTAAAAAACAGTAATGTTTTTCTGGTTAAAGCCTAAGTCATATTCAACTATATGCAAATACCAAAAAATGAAAATAAAAATCAGCCATAAAATCACCATCTAGAGGTGTATATTTGGTGCTAAATGAAAATATAACATATAAAAATATACAAAGTCAATACATGATTGTGCTACATGCAATTTAGTATTCTTCTTTATTCACTTTACATTATATGAGCATTTTCTTAGGTTTTTAAATAGTATTTGGAAAGGTAGTTTTTTTAAGACCACAAAATATCAACTTTTAACTGAAGTATTGTTGATATACAGTCTTTCATTGGTTTCAAATATGTAACACAGTGGCTCAACATTTGCCCATATTCAATCCTCACTCCCACTAGTGCAGTTACTATCTGTCAACACAGAAAGATGTTACAGAATCAATGGCTATGTTCTCCATGCTGTACTACCATCCCTGTGACCAACCTATATTATGATTGAGAATTTTTGTGTCTCTTTATCCCCCTCATCCCATCCGCCCACCCACCCCAAGCCCTCCCCCATGGTAATCAGGAGTCACTTCTCAGTGTCTATGAGTCTACTGCTATTTTGCTTAAAATACATTTTATAATTTAATCATTATATGCCATTTATAAATGGATCATTCACTGCAAATCAACAACTTGATTTTTAAGTTATTTATTAAGTTTTTAATATTATAAGTAATGCTGTGATGGAAGAGATAAGTACTTAACCATTATCTAATTATGATTTTCTTCAAGATAAATTCTTAAAATAAAGTATGCTACAGCACTGAATACATCAGAATAATATTAGAAGGGTCATATATACCATGCTAAGAATAAGAAATTCAGATCTTACCAGCCATTTGATATCATTATTTATGATTCCCTTACCACCAGTTCAATCTGCAAGGGATATGGATACTTTAAAGGCTTTGAATTCATAAGGTTATTTGCTTCTCAGAAAGTTTAAAATCTTAGAAGCAAAAGCTAAATTTTATTGACAATGATCATTTAGTGATTATTTTATTTATATATATATATATATATGTGTGTGTGTATATATATATATATACACACATGTATATGAAGGTCAGCAATGCCTTAAGAGCTATATAAAACTATAAAAATTTACTTACAGGTAACCATTAAATTCTTCTGAAGGTTTTCTCCAAATTGTTACATCTTTCTAAAAAATTAAAAACAGTATATGGTGATAATTACATAGGTGGAACCCTGGACATAAAACTGACAATGTCGTTAGTCTGGAGCACTATCTTTGTAGTAAAATAAAACTCAAGGGACTATTCAAAGAGATATATAAAAGTCACTGATACCACCAAATGATCCATATTTGAACTTCTTTTGTTCAAATTTAAGGAAGTAAAATGTTAAGTTCTTCACATTTTACTTAAATTACAGACCACTAGAAAAGATTTTTTTCAGCAGCTTAATGAGACCCAAATACTGTTAAGACTCAGTAATGGCACTATCACACTGGTCAAGATTATCTGCCTCATTCCAATCTTACCTATTTACTATTAATGATACATTTACACTAAGATATTAGAAATGCTGAGTATTTCATTCTGTAATTGCTCATATCTTTTGTTAAAAAATTAAACAATCCACACCTATTCTGATAGCACAATCCTTAATTAACCTCTCCCTTTTTTTCCCCCTGCTCATTTCCTAGGAAATTTTGACTATCAGAAAAGCTAGGCCACCGACTGGAGGAGGCCCTAGGGTGGGCTCTGCCACACTCAACCATGTAATAGTCTGGGCAAGTCACACTGGTGAAAAAACCCTCACAGGCTTGTTGAAATATCTGAAACTATGCCAAACGATCAATTACTCTCCTTCCTTAAACTGACGATAATATATTTGATTTGTTAACTTCAGAGGCTATTCTTTAGGCTTTTGTTGCCCTAAGTCTCCTCTCATGTCCAATATCTAAAGAACGAATGAAAGCTGTGCAAGATCACTGTTGCTTCCTTTGTGAGATGTTAAACCACTGGCTTTACTAGCATAATCATCCATCCTGCATATCCAAGTAGGCTCCATATTTTTCCATACCATTTGAAAGTCATCAACAAATTGATTACATAGAAGATATACCCCCAAATAAAAATAATTTAGCCAATTTACCATTTTCTTTGCAACTCGCCACTTATCATCTTCAATGCTATGGTACTGGATGAGAGTGTTTTTAAGTCTAGTTGCAAAAGCAGCAGTATCAGGCAGGCCTTCCATTTCTGTTTTCCTGTTACAGAGATAAAAGTTAGCATCAGCAAATATCACAGTTCGATTCAATACACAGTGGTTCTCAAATCTAGCTTCATAATAGAATCACTACAAGATGGGGAGCTACAAGATGCCTTATCCTAACCCCACTTCAAATCAACTGATCAGAATCTGGAAGAGGAGGACCTGGGCATAGGATTTTTCAGAAAGTTCCCAAGTGAATAACACAAAGTCAGGGATAAGAATCATGCATTGTAAATTATAAATATAATCCTATTTTCCCTTTCTAATAGAACCTAATAAAAAGGAATAAACTATAAAATCCCAAATAACTTAAAGAAAAAAATATTGCTGTTTCCAAAACACAAGAGTAATAGACAAGGCAAAACTCTAAAAAGTCTTTAGGGCTTCAACCACTGAAATGGTTTACTTTACATTCCAATAGATTTAGGACTCATTCTAGAAGACAAATGACAACTGCAACTGGAAACATCTTCTCATATCCTTTAAGGATAGGGCTACAGAACTGAACAATTTCATTATTTTGAAAAGCTGTATTTTCAATATTTTATTTCATTTGATGAAGTGTTATAGGATTCAGGTATCTGTGTAAGGAATAAGGTCATGTGAAGGCTTTTAGAACCACTATTGCAATAAATAAATGGTTTATAATTTTAAGGCTATAAGTTTACATGAAGAAGAAAAGCACTCACTAATAATTTCAAGATAAACTACTGCTCAACAATATTTTTAATGGGAAATGATTACTAACCTTGAAAGCTAATAAACTTCATATAATGAGGGATTCTGTAATGTGACGGTTTTAAAATACTGCTGTAAATTCTTTGACACACTTCCCATCTGTGATTCTGCATGACTTCCTAGGCTGGGTTAGAAAAGTCCATGCAGATTCTGCAGGTTTATTTTAGAGTAACTGCTCTGGAAACCTTCGATCAACATGCAAGCACACAAAAAATCTGGCTATCGCTGACACATGGAAAGAACCAGGGGAAGAAGGAGAGAGAGACACAGCTCCCAAGTCCCAAATCAGAAGAAGCCTACTTAGATAGTTTTATCCCTAATAGGCGTCTGTTGCTTCCCTGGGCTTCCCTCAATTTGCCAGTCTTCCCAATTTTAGCAAATTACTATTAAAATGGTAATTGAGCCTGTGAAAGTCAAAGCCTTGGAATTATCCTTAATAGGTATTAAGGGATTCCTAGTCCCACCACCACATCACACTGCCTACAGTGGTCTTACCCTAATGGTTTTCTTTCTGTCCCTCAAATAGGCCAAGATTATTACTGACTTCAGGCCTTTGTACCTGCCATTTCTCTGCCTGGATTACTAGATCACAAATCTGAGCACGACTAATAACAACTCATAATGAAAAGTTTGGCTTAAGCCTCCTGTCCTCTTTAATAAAGCCTTCTTCAAGTGACTATTATATTCTCCTTTTACTTTCTTTCATAGTGCTTATCACTATCTAAAATCAACTTTATTTATTGGAGTACTGTATTCTGTTCTTTGACCAACACATCTCTGACTAATAGTGCAAGGGCCCTTGCCTGCCTTATTTACCACTATATCCACACCAACTAGAACATTGCCTGGAACACAAAAGGCCCTTAATATTTGTCGAAGCGTGTTTGTTTCAAAACAGAAATTATTTGGTCTTAACTTTATCTCCTTTTGGTGCCATGCTACACTCCAGTAAAAGGCTAAAGGAGAAAAGGCTTTTGGGGAAAAACTGCCCATTTACAGAACCATCAAGTTATTGAGGTAGACCAGGGACATAGGACAAGCATCATGATTAATTTTTCCTGCCTATGATGAAAAATGCTAAGATATAAATAGTACAGTAAGTTCAGGAGGGACCCCATCTTCAGGCTAAGATTCCAATTCAAAAACCAGGGAGTAAAGAGGTAAGAGTTACCAGCCAACAAGCAGCCCTATCTTACGGCAGGGTGGGCAGTCCTAAGTCACATGTTCCCACTGGTTGAGGGTAACAACTATTTTGGAGAACAGGATCAATAAATTCCTTGTGCTAAGTTTATCTTACAGAGTATTTGGAGGACTGAAAATGAATGACGACATAATGACTATCACCAGAGACAGACACGATGAGCACACAAGTCAAGCCGACACTCCCTTGGCCCTTTACCCCATTCTTGAAATCCTTAAAAGACATGAATCCTAAGCCTTTAAGCACACCTCTCTGAGGCTGTCTGCACTCCCCTTTCTTCAAGTGTGTACTATGCCTTAAAGCCTTCTTGCTGCTCAGCTTACGATGGAGTTTTGTCTCCATGCTCTTCCAAGCCTGTTGGGACCCCTTTTAGTAAGAGACCCTTTTTCCCAGTGGTAAGCATCTTTCTTATTTTGCTATTTCATTCAGTTGTCTAGACTTAAGCACAAGTCTTCACTCTGACTGTTCTACTTCAGACAAGTAGGGAAGGGCTGCCGAGATCTCTGATTTGGGCTTCATGTTCTTGTTGCCTGGGTGAGCCAGAAGGGACTTCAACCGCACAATCATGATCTTTAGTAGCCTGCCCCAAAATATTCTTTCTTTGCTTTGGGGAAGTTCCAGAATATAATCTCACTCTATCCAATGCTCTCTGGCTCCCCCAAATCCTGGGGTGGTAGGGGCTTAGTTCCCATGCTGTGCAGATTCAAGCGGACACTGGATGCCAGGTGACCCTGGCTCTACGAGTTGGCAAGGGGTTTGCCCTGTGCTGATCAGGAGTCTAATGAACTTTCCTTTCCTCCCTCTGTCCTTGTTCTCTGCTCCCTGCATGGCTGCTGCCAGTCACGATGACTCTTGCCTTAATGAATTCTTTCTTTACCAGAAAGAATTAATTAACCAATTCTTTCTTAATTAGAGTCAAGAATCCTCCCCTGCCCAAACTGAGGTTTCACCTAGTGTGCAAGGAGAGACCCCTCACCCCCCGGACACAGCTGCCTGACAACATTTCTAATAAAAAAGACATCAAGGAAGATTTAAATGAAATATCAAGCCTCAAACCTCTATGAGAATAAGGCTGTAGTTCCCAACTGCACATACATACATCGGAATCACGCTTGTTGCGTCTTGTAGTGATTATTGCCGCTGACAGGACAAAGACTGCTCCCCCTGCTCCTCAGAGTCCTCTGTCTGATAAGCCCTAACTCTTGGGTTTGTCTTCGGCCTCCTTAGTCCACTTTTATAAAGAATCCTGCTGAGTCAGCTTAGTGAAAATCTCCCACCCTCAAAAATTCCTCATCCCACCCAGGATCTTATCACCTAGCCTGCCTTCAGCAAGAATCTTATCAAGTCAGTTTAGCCAGAATCCTCCTCACACCTAATGTTTCCTCTTAGTAATTTCCTACCCACTGACACTTCTGAGTCTCTTGGCTTTGAATCCCCCCACCTGTCCTTGTATTGAGAAAGGAGCCCAGAATGATACTGAGGTTTCTTTCCCCCTATTGCAATAGTTCTTGAACAAGATTTGCTGCTGTAACTTCTGTCTGTCTCTGACACTGTTATTAGATGTTAGATTTCAGGGCCCACTGCCAGATAGTCTGTTTCAGTGGGTCTGTTCTGGGGTAGTCTCCAGAAATCTAGGTCCTTTAAAAAGTCTCACTGATCATTCTGCTTTCTGGCCAGGGTTAAGAACCACTGATCTAAAAACTAAAGATGACAGAACCAAGACGACATTGTGATCAGGATTTAAATAGCACAGAACACCACATAGACACCATGAAAAATGATAAACACTAAAATAATACAGAACTGTATGAGAGGGAAAAAACCTTCCCTCTAGTCTAGTAATTGCTGTCTCTGGACCTGTAAATGAAATGGACAAAAGACAGATTAACAAGAGGAAAGGCATACAAATTTTATTTGGTGTTAATATTTTAGTTTTTATATATACAGAGGCCTTCATAGAAAAGAAGTGGAGACCCAAAGAAGCACTTAGACCCAGGAGTTTATACACCAGTTAAACAAAGAATCATAAATTGTGTAAAAATGACAAGAAATAGGAAAAGGGGTTTAGACTTGTAGAGGTGGTAAATTATGGGAAGGTAAAGATATGGGAGGAAACTAATGAAAGATAAGTGTTATTTTAATAAAGCTTATTTGTGCAGACCATCTCTGCACCAAATGTCTCCAGTAAGAAGAGTTGTTCTCCTGATACAGGAGAGGAGGGAGGGAAGAACTCCACAAAAGGAAATTCATGTCCTGTTAGGCAGGTAGTGGAAGGGGTTGCTTTCTACATTTGCTCCTTTTTAATTGCCTTTAGCTCAAAATAATTCCTAGCCAAGAGTGGCATATTTTGGGGTGACATATCCCTTCAGAAACAAGGGAAAGCATATATAGAAAATTCAATTAATAGAGAATTTAGGATCTGTTTAAGTCATGCAAACTATATAATAAGTATAGATCCTACACACAGACTAAAAGTGGATTAGCTCTGCCAGTCAGGAATGTACCCCATTTCCCCTCAAAAGACTGCCAACTTGATAGCCAGTACAATGACCTATTCAAGGGTATGTTATACAAGCCCAAATTCTTAGAGAGGACTTGAAAAAAAAAACTTCATTTACCTATAACTGGGATTATTATGATTACACAATATTTTTTAAACTCAAAAGCTTGCAGTTATGGTTAGCTGGTAAGAATGCTTTTCAAAACTTTTTGATGGAAATCAAAGATGAAATGGAAAGCTACTACTATCATAGACATTATCTTTGTGCAAATCCAGCACACAAAAAGTAAGCAATAAAACTACCTATAAAGATTAGAATCTGAATGTTTAAGGTGCTTACCTTAGGAACTATTCACTCCTACTGAGCAGTAAAAATTCCGAACTCCTTAATATGGCTTATGGGCCTTTTTATGATCTGGCAGATCACTGCCTAATTTCTCCTCTTCTTCCCTGGACTTCCTGAAAGACTAGATTAGCACCCCCTCCAGTGTTCTCTCAGAGCAACTGTGTACTGTAATTATTCATTTGTCATCTTCTCCCATTTAACTGTAAATCTTCTGAGGCAGGATATGTGGCCTGTTCAATGTTATATTCCTTATGTCTAGCATACAGTAGAACACAGTGAATAAAAAAGGGGACAACGGGTAGACAATACGCTACTAGTATGAAAGATGTCACGACATCTAAGGCTGACCCGTTTATACCAAGCATCCTTGAGCTTCTGAATGACCACAACATTCACTGCCATAATGAAGCACAGTTTCTCAAGGTGGTCTACTATTTACCATCTAGTTAGTACACAGCAGGTCCTAAAACTACAGAAATGGATGTAATCCAGTTTTTGCTCAAACTGACTTTTTCCACCTTTAAATAAACTTTGATCTGCAACCACAAACAACAAAATCTAAAGCATTAAAAATTCCTACTAATGAGCCTCTTTATGGGTGGTGGCATAGGAGGTAGGAAAGGAAGAGAACAAAACATAAACTCAGACAGCTTTTAGCCCAACATGGTGTTTAACCAGGCAGTTAATTCTTACGTGAATTTTTCTTCATCAACATTGAGTCCAAAAGGGAATAATGATTACTGTCTAAACTGTATGTCTGTGGGCAGGCATAAGAGCATCTTTCAAATATATTCCAGAAGGTGGGTGGGGGCGGTATGAGGGTTAGCAAGGTCTTGGCACTCTCCTCACACAGCAGGGCACTCACAGCAACTGAAAGGAGTACACAGGACGCCCTCTGCAATCTCCGTCTGTGGAGACTGTCAGGGAATTGTTTTAAATACCACTCTGAACTCCCTCTTATTAATTTTCTTTTACGGCTTTTCCTTATATCAAGAACCTCTCCATCACATATCAGAGAGGACAAATACCATTTAACTGTATCAGAATCTAACAGCTCCCTGTAAAATGTAGTATGTGTTTTGGCAGTTACTCAAATTCATTTTTCCCCTTACTTTCACTTTTTTGTTCATTTTCTATGCCCACGTTTTTGAAGCCATCACTAATGTAGACAGTGGCTGCCATCATAGAGTGGGCAGCCCTCCCAAGTTAAAAATTTTGAGACCACTTATCAGCACCACAGTCACTGACCAATACAACTCCAATTTCTAACAAATATTTAACAGTGAAGTGGCCATAGAAGTTCTATTTTAACTATTAAGACATTTTAACCTCTAATAAAAAGTGCCACAAATGTCTGTCTGTACTTACATAGTATGATTAAGTCAGAACTCACTTATTAAAGAAGCTCATATCAGAACTATTCAACCTTACATTACCTGATTGATATGTTTCACTTATGTGAACAGCTCCAATTTAACATGCCATAGATTTTCCCCAAGATGTGCAAACCAAGTCCTTATAAATTATATTTTCTACCTAACATAAAAATTTCAGCATATGCTTGATTCCCAATGAATCTTGAATTGGTAATTTAGCTTTTCCAACTCGGGTACAGTGGGTTTTTTTGTTGTTGAAACTGGCTGTAGCAGAAACGCAACAGGGAAACCTACTTCTGCAAATGTGATTAACGCTGCTGTTTTCAGTGCACACTGGCTTTAGTGTGAGTACAGTGTTGAGACTTTTTACAACACAATAATTCTAATGATATCATAGCGTTAAGTCTGAGTCCAGGTTAATGTTCAAGAGCCTAATCTTTTTAAAATAATAATAACACCTAACATTTATTGATCATTTACTATGGGATCAGTCTTTCTGGCCATTTTAAATTGTATTCTTTCATTTAATCCGCATAAACAATCTTAAGAGCCGATGCTAGTATCCCTACTTTACGTAAAGTTGAAACAGAAACCGGGAAATTAAGTCACTTATCGCGACTACACCGCTAATATGTGATGGGACCAGAATTCCAATCGAAGGCTTCTGCCTACGGAGCCTAAAGGCCTGTTCTGTAAAACGCTGGAAGCTGATCAGTGGCTGGATGAGAATTTACATAAAACGTGTGACATCATACATGAATGTGTCATATTCTGTCTTGGTTCCTGATCCCAAAATAGCTCAGGTAATTTTTCTCAGTTACCTCAATGGACCTTCACCACGCCTTAGAAGCGAGGTTAGTACCGCCCCTTCCCCATTCACAGATAAAAAACGGAAGCCTAAGCCGCGTCCGAGACCTTAGGATGGCGAGCAGTGTAGGGAGGCTCGGTGCGAGCCCTGGGATCGGTACGGTGCGGCCCCGGGCCTCAGTGTCTCGTACCTGTGAGGTCCACACCCTCCCGGACGCCGGGGTCCGCCTTCCCGAACTTGCCCCGAGACCTCCCGCACCCCTCTCCCGGATCGGCTCCGGGAAAACGCCCCGGACGCCGCCGCCGCACTCCCTCCAGCCGCCTCGCTTCACCGCGACTCCGGGCCTCTACCCTCGGCTACCTGAGACGCAGCGAGCAGCCTGCGGAGCTCGGGTGCGCCGGGAGCCACAGACTCGCCGCTCTCCGCGACACTGCCGTGTTGGAGCGCTCAGTTTCTCTGCCTGCGGCCGCGGGCGACACCAACCAATCAGCGTCAAGCCACTGGGGATCGCAGCCAATTGGAAGACATCAAGCTCTTAGGGAAGGCGGGCCGAACCTTCCTGGCGTGTCCGGGGAACCCACCCGAGGGCCTCGGAAAGCAAGCAGCAGAAGTTGGCCCGAGCAGTGTGTGTTTGCTTGGATTGGCTGGCGCGGCGGCGTGTGGAGCGCTGATTGGTCGCCGGGAAATGGACCGATTCCACGTGAGTGTGGGCTGCCCGAGCCGGCCAGGTTTCCCGGTATTTGTGGGGTTGCGGGTGGGTTCAGCTCCACGCGGGATTTCGCCGTAGCCAATTCATGATGAAAGGGTTTTGCAAGGCAGTAAATCCAACTGGGAGAAACACGGACACATCAAGGAAGCGAGGGATGACAGTGAGCAGTAAGGGTGGTCTAAATTGTCTACTGCTGTGAAGACCTAGTATCTCGCAGCTGCACTGCCGGTCCCAGGACCTAAAGCCAAAATGCGCCCATGCGGAGGATGACGGGGCCTTCAACCATCCTCCTCCCTGACTTAAAAGTTGGAGCGTTATATGAGAACGCATATTTACAAAGTTATTGCCACAGTGTGAACTGATCTTTCTCCTCCCTTGAAAACAAAGAAAAGGGGTGTGGCCGTTGGTTTTCTAGCTTCGTAAAGTGTTCTGATGTTTAAGTAACTTTTCTTCCAGTGGCTGTGAAGTCCCCCATCTGATAGGATGTTGACAAATTGGAATACTAAAAATAAAGTGTTTACAAACTCTTATTTATTAGGGTGTATAGTTTGTAAAACTAAGAGTAAGAAGGAATGCAGTGGTACACCATTAGTCATGTTTGCAAAAAAAATATTTGAAAACATTTTAAATTAACGTCACTAAAAGAATCACCAAACACCACTTGCTAGTTATTTTGGGCAAAATTTTAAAATCCTACCTCAGTGTATACACATAAAAGGAAGAGTTTTTTGTTTGGTGATTACTTTTCCATTACATATCACAGGTAATCATCTATAAAACACACCTACATCGGAGGAGCAGCTAAGTGGATTCTATGAGATATAATGTAAAAGTTTATACAAAGCACTTTTTCACAACCATCTCAAATTTATCTATCTATCTATCTATCTATCTATCTATCTATCTATCTATCTATCTATCTATCTACAAACAAGGGTGACAATAATAAATGAATTTAGCCCCAGGCATAGATCTTAAAGCAGATTACCATTACTGAGTAGCTGAACTGGAATTTGATAGAGGTCTGGGACATTAAAACTGGGGCTCTTAACTCCAACAAAACTTGCAATGTGTTTCTCAGCTGTCAGGCCCCTGTGCACAGCAGGGGAGACCAGAAATGGAAGATCTCAGAGGAACAAGTCCTCAGAACCATTTCAGAGAAGTAGAGAATTCGTGTCTGTCCTTATTAGGTTTCAGGTTTCAGTATATTGTTCAGCAGCTCTGCATATTCTCTCACAGAACCTGCTAAAGCATGCTTAAAACAAAATTAATTCGGCTTTTTTTCTTTTCAGAAGGGATGCTACATAAGCTCATTACATCACACTCATACCCAGTAAGGAGGTTTTTGTTTCTTTGACTTTGTTCTTTATCTGTTGCCATGTTTCTCTTGATTAGAAGGAAGTTGGGGTGATTAAAACCACCCTATGTCTATCAAAGTGGAATGCTACTACTAAAAAAATAAGTGCCAATTCAGAAAAAAGAAAATAATATCATCTGGAGCTATTATTTAGAGTTTACTATGGACCAAGCACAGAGGTAGCATTTTACATGTGTTAACTCATTTAATCCTGTTAGTACCCATAAGGTACACACTGTTATTGTACTCATGAGGGAACTGTAGTATATAGGGCCACAAACAAGTACCCCCTCCAATAAGTTTGAAAACGAAAATAAACTTTCTGTCTAGAGTTCAAGAATAAAGGAGACATAATGTATTTCACCATCTATACAGAAAGTCAGCCTAAAGAGACAAAAACACATTCCCTCCCATGCCCTGACTATAATCAAACTGAATGTATTAATATACATAAAGAATTTCCAAGAAGAAAAACAGAAAAAAAATCCAAAACACAAAAACAATGTATCCACAACTTCTAACCAGGAGACAATAAATCTAGAAATAAAAAACAAAATTAAAATGCACATACACAAATATCTCCAACTAATTGAAAATTTAAAAGAAGATTGGATTTCCCAAACTCTTAGATCAAAAAGAAAATCAAATATGACATACTGAAGAACATTAATAAAAATATTTAAAGTATTAATATGAATAAATGTTAACATAAATAAAAATAAAATCCCTCTATATCAAAACCGGGGAATACAACAAATTCTATACTTAAAGAATTTGACTCAGGAAAACTCAGCCTTAATTCAATTCAACAAATATTTATTAAGTGCATAGGAAACCTACTGAAGCTAGAGCAGTTTATAAGTGACCCTCAGCCAATTTTAGAGCTGAATTTAATTCTGAACATTTTATTTATATAGTACAATAGATTTCTTTTCTTTTCTATTCTTTTCCTTTCCTCTCCTCTCCTCTTCTCTTCTTTTTCTTCTTAAGTCAATTTGGGTTGACTTTCACTTAGGATGAAAGAGCCTCAAGGGAACAGAGGGCCCCCTTGCCCTTGCAACACTTGCCGGTTTCATCCAGCTATGGCCAGGAGCCAGGCTTGAAATAGGGAGGAGGTGGGGTGTTGGGAGGAACCTTCTGGTGGCAGTTATACAGGGAGGAGGGACCTGAAAATTTTCACCTATGGCTGTAGGGAAACAAAGGGTAGTTCCTGCCTTCCTGGGCAGCTCCTGCACTGGCTAGAGCAACTGTTGTGGTGTAAGCCATTTATACATATGTCAGGAGGATACATATATGAGAATTATCTATTTTCTGTGTTGTTACAAGTACTCAAATATCTAATGTTGTGTTTAACCCAGTTTTCTTAAGACCAAGTTGTTTTTTCTACATTCAGATTCCATTTTTCTACATTCAAGTTCTTCCATATCCTTTCTATAACCCTTCTTCCCATCTTTCAAATGGGTTTCTGTCCCTTGTAATTAATCCCGGACTCTCACAGAAGGACAACACTTGGCCCATCCTCTCCATGGGATTTTTTACACGCCTGAACAAATAAACTAGTATCGACTCTGGTGTTAACTATATGCTCTTGTCAAGGAAAGTGGCAGAAGACTGGACAAATTACTAAACGTAACTAACCCTTAGTTTCCTCGCCTGTAATATGTGATTAAGAATATCTTCTTTTAGGGCTTTTATAAATGTTCGTGAGGGGGCTGCAGAGGCTGGCATGTTTTTTGGCACTGTGTGGACACGCATGGAAAATGGTAGCAGGATCTGGGAGGAACATGGGGGTGAGAGCATGAGCAGAGGTCCCCCAAATATCCTGTGCATCTGTATCACAGGAGGCATATTAAAAGTACCGATTTCAAACCCTATCCTGAAACTACTCAATCAGGATCTAGGAGCATGATCTCTAAAAACCCCTGCCGGATGATGTCACAGGGCTAATCTAAGACCAGTCTGACTTATGTTTAAGAACAACCAGAAAAGAATAGAAAGCGAGGCTCATCTTTGAAGAGAAAGCAGGCCAGAGCAACAGGTAGCTGCTAAGAATCAGTGGGCAAAGTACTGAACTGTCCATAGTTTTCATTTGTTACTTAGTTTTTATGCTTTATTCTTTTGTGCTGTCTGCTGTATTGTTTAAAGCTTATGTTCATTTGTTTTTCAAAAAAATAACTGCACTTTTACGAAAATTTAGGGCAACTGAATAGTGAACAAACTTCACCAAGGTATAAAAAATATTAGTGTTGGGAAACCATAAGTAAAACAAATGAAAACAAGCAAACAAAACTCATTTTACCTGTGATTCATACATAAAATATTCAGATGAGAATGAAGGCCAGTTAAAGTATTATAATCATTGTAAAGTATATAAATAGCAGGTACCAGATTCTCCACTGCAGGAAGTATCTATGGGACATTTGATACAGTCCAGCCACTGCTCTAAGTAGGTATTATCATGATCTGCATCTTGCATATGAGGAACCTGACGCTCGGAAAGGTTAGGTAGTAATCCTAAGGCTTCACAGCTAGTGAGTGGCAGAGGTCAGAGGTGAACCCAGTGCTCTTAATTACTGTTCTAATGTCCTTTCAGCACAAACGCTGATGCCCTGCCAGGCAGGACAGCAAAAGGATTTCCGTCTGAGTGTGGGAAGCCAGGTGAGGTCACAGGGCTCGTGGCATCTAAAAAGCCTGTAGGTGCAGCCAGCCCGCAGTTGAGGCTGACGGAAAAACACGCAGGCTGCTTCAGGCGTGGCTGCAACTAGCTGTCTCTGTGATGAAGGTGGTCATTGAAGTTAAAGCAATTCCATGCCATGTTTAAGTTCCCAAAGGGCAGAAGAACATTAATACGTGACCATACAGTGAAACCAAGCAGAAGGAACTGCTCTCTGAAACTCTGGAAATTAGGTTCAGAGTTTGCAGTGTGAGAAAGAAGACTCTGCACAGGCAGGGAGAAGAGATGGGCCATCTTGAGCCCACAGCTCAAAGGTGACCAGCAAGCTAGCTCTGATGAATTAAAACATAATAATGATTCATGCAATTATCTAACATAAGGGTCAGCCAATGACAGCCCATGAGCCAAATTAGGTTCCCCCACCTCTTTGTAAATAAAGTTTTGTTGGAATGGAGGCACACTAGTTAATCTGTGTCCTTCCTCTGACTGCTTTCACATGGCAATGTCTTGATTGAGAAACTGCAGCAGGCACTCCAGGACCCTCAGAGCCAAAAATATTATTCTCTGACCCTTTCTAGAAAAATTTTGCTGATCTCTGAAACATATTTCATAAATCTAGGTTTAAGATGTAAAGTTTTAAAGAGATCAAATCAGCCTCAATAAACATCTGAGAGCCCTTTTTTCCTTGCATTTCATGTATCAGAAGATGTGGGGAGATGAAACCACTTGGCAAAGGACGAAGCATAACAGACTCAGCTGGACCCGGACTTTTGACTTATCAGGTCACTTACTCCACCAGAGAAAAAAATTTTGTTAACCAGGTTACATTTGTAAATATTCCAACTCGGAGAACACTTGAATTTGTAAATATTCCAGCTCAGAGAACACTTGAATATTGCACTTGAATCAGCAAAAATGCAAGGTGATTGTGAAACTTTGCCTCTTACAAAACTGACCTCGTATTTCTGATTTTACTTTTTCTCTCTCAAAGAGGGAGCTTGTATTATGTTTCTGTAAGCTTGTCAGTTATTAAGGGCCTGCTCTGTGTCAGAAATAATCCTAAAACGTTAACATTCACAATTGGACTACTTCAAGTTCTTATCTCCTTTCTCCTTTTCTCAAAGAGAAATAGAGCCCTTGATTTCTAGCTGGCACATCATAGTCCCAAACAACAAACATTTCCCAGACCCCTGATTGCTGGAGCTCTGAACTGACTTCGGTCCTGCTAATGAGACATGCTCATGAGAGGGTTCCTGGTGGAAGTCACGCTCTTCCTGCCTCTGCAGTGCTGACACAGGTTCCTGTTTCAAGCCCCTCTGCCCTCGTTCCAGTGCATATGATGATCTTAGTGGCTCCCCAGTTGCTATAGGAACATCTGCATCGGTGGCTCCAGTGGCAAAATATTGGATAAACGGTTGCCTCAAATACCTAGAAAGGGAGATCACATGCTGATCATGCCTGTAGCTGTAGGTTAAATCGTGGGGAAAATTCGTATTAGTGAAGGTTGGTCACTTCTGCTGTTTCAGTAAAGTTTTGCAGGAGAAAGATAAATTCAGTGCTAGATCTCTCCAGTCTGTATGGGATGTGAGAGGAGTATATCTCTGCTAGGAAAGAGACTGAGAATGGAAGCTATAGCAGAGAATCTCAGCCTGCGGCAGAGACTCTGAAGTATTTGTGGAACTAATAATTTGGTTTCTCACAGTGTTGAAAAAGTCAGTTGTGCTTGTACTTCCACACTGAAGCAACACTGAGTTTGCTATGAAGGAGAACTGTCGGCAAGCATGTCTCCAAAGCTTTCTGGGCCAGAGAGTCAGCCCGGCAGCACAGATCAGATGAAAGGCGTTGCCCTACTGTTCAAGACCTCGCTTTAGGGCCTCATGGCAGCCGCCTCCAGTAGTCTGCTAGGGCTGCTGTGACAAAGTACCTCAAACTGGGTGGTTTAAGCCACAGAAATTTATCATCGTATAGTCCTGGAGGCTAGAAGTTTGAGATCAAGGTGTCATCAGCATTGGTTCTCCTGAGGGCTCGGAGGGGAAATCTGTTGCACGGCTCTCAGGTGGCTTCCTGGCAACCTTTGGCAAGCCTTGGCTTGTGGATGCACCACCTCTGGTGTTCTTCACATGGGCATGTCTGTGTCTGAACTTCCCCTTTTTGTAAGGACACCAGTCATCCTGGATTAGGGCCCACCCTAAGGCCCTCATTTTAACTTGATCACCTCTATGAAGATGTGTGCCAAATAAGGTCACTGAGAAGTACTGGAGGTTGAGAATCAGATACACATTTTAGGGTGGGAGGGACAAAAGTCAACCCATAAATATCACCATTAGGGTTGAAAAGAGGTAATGCAGAGCCTAGCCCCTAATAATTCACACCAGATATTCAGACTTAAATATATATATATATATACTGTCTCTGAGTTCTTTGGGTACTCTTCTCACACTGGAACCAGAAGAAAGATTAGATGCCTAAGAAATTTACAAAGAAATTCATTACCAGAGAAACCATGAACCTGGCCTGCCAATGGCTCACCTTCTGGGCACAAGGTACACTTACCTTCCCAAATCTTCACCAGCAAAAAGCAGATCAGGAAAGGTCTGCAGCCCCTGGAAGGGCAGGCTCTCCGAAGCCCCATTCAGCTGTGGCCAAGGAGGCTGGTGGCCAAGGAGGGTCCTCCGAGGAAACAAAGCCAGCAATCCTGGAGGTGAGAAAGGACCCGGAGGCTGTCAGATGTGCTGGCCCAGAAAATTATAGCCATCTACTGTCAGGGCAGAGCTCCCTGAAAGTCCTGGCCAGCACAACATGTTTTACAAAGAAAACTATTAGAGTTATCTTGTTCCTACTCCACCATTGACTTGTGTGTGTGTGTGTGTGTGTGTGTGTGTGTGTTGGGCATGGAGGCATAATGGGATATGTGGTGGGGACTTGATAATGGGGGGAATCTAGTAACCACAATGTTGCTCATGTAATTGTATATTAATGAGACCAAAAAAAAAATTACCTGTGACTTCCTGAATCACCTGTCTACAGGTAGCCACGTCTGGACTTGATGGAGAAGACTTTGTGTCACTCAGATATCCTGGTTTTTGAGGTGGGCTGAGTCTGCATGGGGCTTGGAGGTCAGGAATTGCTTTTTGGATATAATTTTCTTAGGTAGGGTATGAATTGTTCTCTGTTTGAGGAAAAAAAAAAGTGCTCACTCAGAGATCTCAGAGATGGAAATGGCTTGTCCATGGCAGGTCACAAGATGTCCACAAATAACTGTTCGTTGACCGTCTGAATTTTTTTTTTAATTTAGACACAGAGACCACTCCAAATAAAGACTATCTTTCTGAGCCTGCCACACAGCTATAGTTCTGGTTATGAGTGAGTTTCTGCCGATCAGATGCTCTCCTGAAATACTCAAAAAGTGAAAGGCAGGTAGAGGCAGTGTGGGGGCCTGAAGAGGTTTCCCTGTAGTGTCTTCTTGATCAAGGAGGCTTTCCGATCTTGGTGGAGGCAAAGTAGTTTTAGAACTAGTAACTGTAGCAGCAGCTTCCCAAGTGAGCAGGAAGCTTCCTGAACACAGCCGAGGCTGTAAGTCCCTTGGTGGCCCAGTTTTACCATGTGACTCTCAGATTTGTTTTTGAGAAACTCAAATGATAATCTGTCTTATCAGTCTTCCCTACAATCCTATAGGGCATTTAAAACTCTAGCAAATTCCTTTTGTATTTAAACTAGCAGAGAGATTCTGTTTACTAATTTTTTCTCATTTTATGGATGAAGAAACTAGGTTTAGAGACAGTAGTGAGCTGGTAAATCAGCTTTCTGTGAGGAAAATTGCCTGCACTTGTAGCATTTGCCACTATCAATGGTAAATACTCCTACCATGGCTGATTACAAGTCTCCAAAGGTTTAAAAACTTGTAGGCAAAACTCCTGAAAATTTAACGGTTGACTCTCCCAAGCTGGCTCCTGCTTCTACACACCACTGCTTAGAGAATTTAAGTAACTTTCCCAAGGTACCAAGTGAGTAATAATTCAATAAAAAGATTGAAAAGAGAATATTTATTCTGCCTGAAAAACCATTATACTTTATGAAGAGTTTTGGGCTGCCAACAAAACAGTAAACAGAAATTTATGATACAAGGTATAAATGCCTTCAATGCCTTCACTTCAGAGACTTAGTTATTAGTGCTAAGACAGTACTGGAGAAGTTGATAGTATTTTTAAAGCTTTAGCTAGGATTTGAATGGGGGATCATTACCAATATCATTATATGCACATGGCGTAATAGGGATTTAAACAGCTTCAGACCTTCGAAGTTGTGCGTGGGACTTAAGGAGTGAGGGAAATGATTTATAAATTGATAAATTAAAAGTTGCTGCTTCTTGACCCCTATGGAATTGAGTTTGTGGTTGAGGTAGTATGCAGTGGACCCAAAAAATAACCAAAGACCAAAAAATGAAGGGAAACTGCCTTTCTTCAAGATACTTTAGATTACCATAGTTTTGCTTTTTTACATTAAATGACCTTTTTCACATAAAGAAACTGATAGTGTGCCTTCTATTTTTCTGGGGGTTTGTGAGGATATTTGGTGCTTCGTCTAATGAGCTGGACCTGGCTATTTCACCGCCTCCTGAGAATAAGACAGCCAGGCATTTATGCTTCTCTTCCTGTGGGTGTCCGGACGTAGCCAGGGCAAAGCCTTTAGGGAAGTGCTCAGAAGGTACTTTATAATGAGATGACAGGCCTTATTTTTAGAATTTTGGGCCAAGAGCTAAATAATCTGCTAAAATAAGAGATGAATTTTGCCAGTGCCCACAAGGAGGAACATTTCACATATCTCAGCATTCAAAAATCATGAGATGAGAGAGGTAGGAAAGAGAAGTACAGAGGAAAACAGGAAAAGTTGAAGATGAACAAATAAGTGACTGGAAGGTTTAGACATATGCCCCATCTATTCACTGAACAGGCCACCAGGCCCCTGCCTCGCTCAGACACTTAGAGCCTCTGCAGGAGCCAGGGATGGGCTGTCTCCTCAGGGAGTTACTGGCAGGAAAGTTCCCCTTCTCCATGTCAAGTGACCAAATAGGTTTTGCTTTTAAACACTGCAAGATAACATAAAAGTAAAACAACACTGAAGATAGTGCTCTAATTCACTATTTCTTTATATGGAAAGGACGTATTCAAAAGAGCAAAACATTCTGAGACTAGAGAATTCTTTATAAAGTAATGTAGACGTGCATGAATCCTGTTCTTCCTCAGATATAATTGCTTCAGAAAGCATTTCCCTGGTTTCCTTCTGTCACCTATGAAGAAACCCTTACTGAATAATTAGAAAACATTACTGCTTGACAAGTAAGAATAAATGCTAAGTAAAGAGATATTTTAAAGATAAATGTGAACATACAGTTTTGTCTAAGAATGCCACTGCTTTAAAGAGAGTGATTTTAATTCCCACACAATCAGCCACTATGTGTGACAGATTTTTTTTTTTCTGTATTCCTCCCAGCCATCTGACATGTCCTCTGTCACCACCACAGCCTTTATCTGTGGTGTTACGTTAGAGTGCTATTAGTATGGAGCACATTTCCCTACTTTCAGACCTTTCAGCCCAAAATTTTCTTCTGTACTAGCTCTTGAATAATTTTCCTAAATCACTGCTTTTATGAGGCCAGTCCTCTTCAACAAACTAATGATCCACAGTGTGATTTATTAAAGCACTATAGAAGTTTGTCCCAAATTAGAAAGAACTTAGAGGTCCAACAATAAGGATTATAAAATATAATTTGGTGTATCAATAAAATATTACTCAGTCATTGAGTACATGTTATAGAACACAATTATTAATCGGAAGACAATAGTGCCATACTATTTAGTATAAAGAGTAGGGTGTAATAGCCACTTAGCAGTATGTACAAATTCTATAAAAGGAAATGAATGCTCTTTGACTCAAAGTTTTTGCTTATAGGAATTTGTCTAAGAAAATACTGAAGAATGGGTACCAAGATTCCAAGTTCATCTTTACCCCAGTACTGTTTTTCATAGCACAAAAGATAGAAACACCTTGCAAGTCCAAGAATGTGGGATTGAATTTCTGTTTGCGAGCAAGATGGAGTAATGAAAGACATACAAGATACGTTCTCTGACCACAGTGGATCTAAATTAGAAATCAGTAACAAATTTATCTGGACAAACCCCAAATATCTGGAAATTAAATTACATACTTTTAAATGACCCATAGGTCAAAAAACAAAATTGAAAGGGAAATTAAGAAAAGTTTTAACTGAATAAAAATGACAACATAGCGTATGAAATTTATGGTGTAAGCTAAAGCAGTAATTAGAAGGAATGCTTTTTGCTCTAAACACCTACATTAAAAACAGATCTCTACTCAATGACATTAGCTTCCACCTTAAGAAACAAGAAAAGTTTCAAATTCCTCTAAAGAAACAAACCACCAGATTTATTCAAGAAGAAATAGATAATGCCAAGAGCCCTATATCTATTAATGACATTGAATTTGGAGTTTTAACCCTTCTCACAAGGAAAATTCCATTGTCAGACGCCCTCACTGGTAAATCCTACCAAACATTTAAGAAGAAATAATATTTCAACACAAATTCTTCCAGAAAATTGAAGACTTCCTATCTCATTCTACAAGGCCAACATTACTCTGATACTAAAACCAGAAACAGATATAAGAAAAGTACATAACACTCTCTCTCTTGAACAAATAAACAACACCTTCTTACCAAATTTTAACAAACCAAATCTAACACTATATTAAAAGGATAATACATCATGACTGAGTGGGGTTTATCTCAGGAATGCAAAGTTACTTTAATACTCAAAAACCAGTCACTGGAATTCACTGTATTAATGGACTGAAAAACGATGCCATCATATTAATAGATGAAGAAAAAGCATTTGACAAATACCCAACATGCAATCCTAAAAAAACACTGAGCAAACTTGGAATAGAAGGAATATCCTCAACCCAATGAAGGGCAACTCCCGATCCGGCACTGAACATCTTCCTTAATGATGAGTCACGAAATTCTTTCCCCTAATGGGAGGAACAGGCCAGGAGGACGGCTCTCACTGCCTCTCTTCAACATTGTACTGGAGGGTTTTGCAGATCCATCCAAGCAAGAAAGAAAAATAAAAGACACCCAGACTGGAGATGAAGAAGTAAAGTTGTCTTTATTCACAGATGGCAAGATCATCTATATAGAAAATCCTATAGAATCTATATAACTATGTGTTTGCTAGAGCTAGCAAGTCAGGTTAGCAAGGGTGGAGGATGTGAGATCAATATACTAGCAATAAACAATTGGCAAATGAGATTAAAATTATAATTCCATTTGTGACAGCATAAAAATATAAATTTCCTGGAGGTAAATATGAAGAAAAAAATGTGTATGGCCTGGTACACAGCAACTGCAAAATATACTGGAAAAAGTAAGAAACTAAATAGCGATAAATGCCATGTTTGTGTGTAAACATGGATAAAATATCAACTCTCCCCAGTTTGATCTATAGATGTAACACAATCCCAGCAGGTTTATTTGTAGACATTAACAACTAATTCTGAAAAGCATGTGGAAATGCAGAGCACACAGAAAAGCCAAAACAATTCTGAAAAACAACCAAGTTGACCAACTTATCACCTGAGTTTGTCTTAGTATAAAGTTACATTGATCAAGATTGTGATATCAGAATTAAGAAATATAAATAGATCAATAGAACAGAATAGGGTCTAGCAGTATAACCACATATATATGGTTAATTGATTTTCAACAAAGATGCAAAGGCATTTCAAAAAACATGAGATTAATCAGGTAAATTCTTTGGTAAAGGGTGCAGCCATTAAATTTTGCTGTAAAAATATATGTGTTGATATAGCAAGGTATTCATGATATATCAAGAGAAAACTTCAGGGTCAAAAACAATTTATAAGTTATTCTGTTTTTGAATGGGATCTATGTTTTTTTCAAAGGGATACACATACATATACTTACAGACAAACATATGCAATAAAAATGATTATTAATAGTAGGAGCCTGGAATTACTTATAATTTAAATTTTGCTTTTAATGTCTATGCTTTTATTTATTTATAATAGACATATACTGTAATAAAGGACAAAACCAAAATGTTGAAATACTGTATAATTATTACATAAAGTTCAATAATATTACTTTTTGGAAAAAATGTGTGTGCGTGTAGTATAAATACTGGGTGGTATATTCCAGATATTACAAAGCGAAGTAGAGTTCCAAATAATTTCTTAGCTTTTGTCTTAATGGGTTTCCAAATTTTCCATATTGGGCAAATCTTGCTTTTGATGCACTACAAAAGCAGTAAGTGTTATTTTTTTTTTTTAAACTTTCGGTAATTCTCTGTAACTACCTGACCAAAGATCGAACTTCTGACTTTAGCATCCTCTGAGGGTGAGATGAACAGTGTGGCCCAAACTGAGCTTTCTGACTCCCCTGATACTCATTTCATGCACATGGCTCTGCTCGCTGCCCCCACCATCCCTGACTTCCTCCACTGCATCACTGCCTCTCATCTAGCTGTCCTTTCTTACTAGGGCCATATTTCCCTGTTGGACCTTTCCGCTTCACACCAACATTTGAAGTCAAGTTGCTGCTGTCTCTGAAATTTCTCTGAGAAATGTCTTGATCAAGAGTTCCTATGGCGCTTCAGTATTTCCCATACGTTTGAAACTTAACCGCATTCCAGTTAAAGGATTAACAAACTTTAGATTTGGGGAGAGTTTTTGATTCCATGGTCCTAATGAACATTTTTATCAAATGCTAAATAGACCTAAGGTTCTGGAGCTAACTGTTGGGTTTTAAATCTTGACTTAGCCAGTTAATAGGTGGTTGGTCTTGGGGCAAATTGTTCACTACATCTTATCTCATTTTTCTTTTTTAAAAATTGGGCACCAGAGAACTTACCACATGGAATTATTGCAGAATGAGGAGAAGTTAAAAGCACCAGAATATTGTCTGAAACATAGTAAGCACCCAATAGTGCTAGCAATATTATTATAATGATCATTATTATCCCTACAGCCTCAGAACCAAGTCTCAGTCATAGGTGTCCTTTGGTAAACCCAGAAATTTAAGGGTTTAGAAAACATCTTGAAACAACTCTCGTATTTCCCATAGTTAGTCTTCTTAGTTAATCTAAAATTTCTTATATGCTATCTCTCTCTAAGCAGTAGACAGCAAATAGAGTTAGAATTTAGAGCTAATGCTTGAAAATTTCTAACTGCAATACTCACATTCTGCCACGAGGTGGCGATAAAACACTAACTTTTTAAAAAATCTCCCAGAAACTTTCCTAATACAAAAACAATGTTTCATATATTTCACATTTACTTGCATAATTTCTAATGTCTCCCTCCTCATATAAGATGTAAGGAGAGAAAGGGAACCGAGAGTCAGAACTCTTTCTATTCAGGGAGGGTCCTGGTCAGAGGAGGCAGTATTTCAGGGGCCTCCCTAGTGGGGCTGCACACCCAGACAAGAAGCCTGGCTAAGGCTGTGTTCTGTCAGAGGCTCTACTTGCCTAACCCGGGTGTGGAGAATCTAGATTTTGCCACACCATTGCTACCTAACAATAAGGAAAAGCTCTTTAACTCCAGCCTCCCTCCAGCTAACTGTTCCGTGGGTAACAGCAGCGCTGGACTCTGACGTGATAGGGCACAGGCAGCCCACAGGAAGGTGGAGGCAGAGGTGAGGTTTAATAGTGGCAAGGTTATCAGCGACTCACCTGAGCAGCCTGTGCAAGTTCAAGGTCAGCCCTGAGTACCTAGGGGGTCAGTGCTCTAATTTGTAAATACAAAATGTTCATATCTGTAGGTCCTCAACATTTAATTTAAAATACGGGGTTGTCCACTGTATCTAAAGTTCTTGAATATATTCTCCCCACAATGACTGCCACCGGTGATTTCTTGCTGAGGAACAGCCTCTCTCTGTGGCTCCTTCTGCTGCCTCTGCCTGTCACAGGTGTGGAGCTGCGGGGAGCACCCCATTCCATCTCCTTTTGTTAGAGTTAGGGAAGGAAGAGTAACTTGCAGACTGAGGTCGGGCCTCCAACACATCTAAACATGGCCTCCAACCTTTGTCAACACCCTAGACTGCTCTCAGGAGGACTACATTATTACTATTATTGTAGTAAAGCATACAAAACATAAAGTCTACCATTTTTACCATTTTCAAGTACACAAGTCAGTGGCATTAAGTATATTTGCAAATTGTGCCGCCATCACCACTACCTGTTTCTGTAAGTTTTCATCATCTCAAACAGAAAATGTATATACAATAAACCAAACCTCCCCATTACCATAAAAGTAACCTCAGGGGGTTACTTTTAAACCATTTCCAAGGACATAAATAAATGGTAACAGGATAGTGTGATAAATGCTATGGCAGAGAAAGGAAAGAAGAGAACTGGCTGGAATCCAGTGTGTATAAAATGCAAACTGTCGACTGCATCAAGGGCTTATGCATATTATTTCTCTTCACAATAGCCCTCGGAAGTAGTTACTGTCACTCCAGTTTGCAAATAAGGAATCTGAAACCTAGGGTTATCTAGGCAGTTGCCCATAGACCCTCAGGGTGCAGTTCAGAGGGGGTGAGCACGAAATAAGACACGCAGGAGCTATGGGCTCTAATCCAGACTGTAACAGCCCAGCTCCACACATTTAGGTTTGTGCTGAAGTTCTCTGAGCCTTTGTTTCCTTTTATAAGTGGTAGAACTACACAAGGAGCCCTTTTAGGACTCTCTCATCAAGCAGATGGAAGAGACTGAGTGGACAGTGCCCCTCAAATAGTTCCATCAGTGATTTATGCACAGACCAAGACTTTGTCTTCACACAGGGAAGGGAAGCCTTGAAGACATGGTTTGCATTGATCACAAATTGCCTCTTCAAATGACCCTCTAGGAGAAAACATCATTCTTTGGTCTGAATCATCCAGGACTAGTGTCTGTTTTGATTAAACCCACTAGACAGTTCCAGACAGCTCTCAGCAGTAATTCTATTTAGCCATCCAGACGGCTGAAAATGCCATGTCAATGCCCTTTTTGTTATTGTGGTATAGACACAGCCTGACTATGATCTTGGATTTCAGTTGGCTCACACACACACAAAAATAGAGAACATTATATGGCTGTTGTTTTTACACCAGCCAAAGGCTTTATCCTACTCCTGAGACTTAATTTAGGCATTTGCGGACTAACAGTTCGTGCTGATCACTAGAATAGCATGCTGTACACAGCACCAGTAGGTGACTATACGGATCCCATTCACATGAAAGACTTAATGTGTTTGTAAAAATTCTTAGTTGCCAATTCTCAGGAAGTCATTTCCACCCAGATCACCAGATGACAAAGAAATAACATCACGTATACAAGTTGAATGATAAACTGCATCCAAATCTGGGTGAAGCATATGAATTATTTTGGAAAACACAAAGGATGAGACTTTCAAAATAAACCATATTTCATAAAATATGGGCCACAGTTTTGCAAATATCTCTCCCTCCTATCCTTCCATTCCTCCACTGCCTCATTTCTTTCAAGTACAGTGTATTTTTGATGTAACAATATGACTTGTTCACAGGGAAATTGGTGTTATATTTATGATAGATTAAAAGTCAGTTGTGTGAGAAATATATGAGAAGATGGACTCTCAAGGGAAGAATATTCAGCACTTTTAAATCTGAGACTCTGGTGTCATGTTCATGAGAGACTTGTTGTTTACATTGGTTTTAAAAATATTTCCTCCTAAACATCTTTAGTATAGGAAAAGACAGAAAGGTATGTGTTTAGATGCTAAAAACCCCTCTGTTCTTATGCAGCTGACATCGTATTAATTTGGTGTCACACTGGGCTCTGATAACAGTAAAGCATTGCCGCTAATACATTCCACTAAGTCTAGTTCATGGTGTCACATATCTTTGGGTGTCTTTCACGTTTAAGACTCCTATTTATACACATAGAGGTTTGGAATGATGTCATTAATAAATTGTATCTCCAGTTCTGTCATGACCGAGGTCATGTCTCTACCAGACCATTGAATCAATGGATTGAATTAGCTTTGCATTACATTCAATCCAGTTAAGAGAGCTCAAATCACCACCATTAATCATTTCTCAATCCATGTATCTGCTGCTGTAAAGGAGAAAAGAATAATTAAGAAAGATGATCGTCACACTCGTTTTTTTCAAGGAGGATATTCATGGTATGCACATGGTGATCATTAAAGAGACAAAATTTAATACATTGAGTATCAATCATAAAATAATTGTTTTATGGTAAAAAATAAAACAAAGCCCTTACCCACAGATAAGAGAGGCTAGGCTGGATAAGAGATGTCAATTTTTTTCAAGTCTAATTCCGGACAGATACATGCACACACCATGCATCTTTCTAGTTGTAATATTAAGGAAGATTTATTTCAGGTTCTTTGATCCATGTTCATCAGTGTCCTCATAGGCAAAATGGGAATAAACCACCTACCTTATAAGGTTGTTGTGAGACTTTAATAAGACATCATATAAATTTTTTTGGTATCATTAATATACAATTACATGAGCAACATGGTGGTTACTAGATTCCTCTCATTATCAACTCCCCACCATATACCCCAATACAGTCACTGTCCATCAGCTTAGTAAGATGCTATAGAGTCACTACTTGTCTTCTCTGTGCTGCACTGTCTTCCCTATGCCCCCCCTACATTATGTGTGCTGATCATAATGCCCCTTATTCGCCTTCTCCCTCCCTTCTCACCCTCCCCACCCCAGTCCCTTTCCCTTTAGCAACTGTTAGTCCATTCATGGGATCTGTGAGTCTGCTGCTGTTTTGTTACTTCAGTTTTTGCTTTGTTCTTATACTCCACAGATGAGTGAAATCATTTGTTACTTGTCTTTCTCTGCCTGGCTTATTTCACTGAGCATAATACCCTTTAGCTCCATCCATGTTGTTGCAAATGGTAGGATTTATTTTCTTCTTAAGGCTGAGTAATACTCCATTGTGTATATGTACCACATCTTCTTTATCCATTCATCTACTGATGGACACCTAGGTTGCTTCCATATCTTGACTATTGTAAGTAGT